TAATATGGCGTGTAGGAAGGGAAACCGAACAGATTTCTATCGTCTTCTGATAACCAAGTTTCTGTAACTGCAATTACTGGGAAAGGGCTGGTAAACGTGGAAAGAAGACTTTGAAATTCATCAACATGTTTTCGTAGGCTTCTGGCATTAAGATGAATAAAAGAGCAGGAGTTACTCACTAAAAACGAGTTTAGTTGCACAGGTGACAGAAGAGCCGACGAGGAAGGCATGGCTGGCACATGCGCATTATGTACAATGGGAGCCAATTAGTTTATTTTAGCCAGATCAGCCTTATCACGTATCCTGTATACTTTACTGTCGGTTGTCTTGCGAGCTTTGATTTGGCAGTTTGTTGTCCACAAAAACATCCATTTTTTCTCTTTCTTTAGAGCCATAGCCTTAGAAAAGAGAGCCTTGTTCGCAGGGGTCAAATGCTCATTTACGTACACGGGATTGTCAGGTGTCTGTGTTATGTTGATGTCCCTCAGGCAGAGCTTAGCTTGTCGGGCCTTGCTTATGAATTCAGTCTTCTTATCCCTTGAACAAGTCTGGAATATCGAATGTTAGGGCATAAATTCATCCGAAGAAACTGCTGTGAAAATTCATTAGTGCTGTGGGAACTTTTACAGTGCATTTATGAAGTCTGAAGTAACCAATGAAGTTCAAATTTTTAAAGTCTGAAAAAATCTATTGATGATAGTATAATCCTCTTGCACAGAAACTGATGAGAGGTATCTGCTTACCAGGATTCCGAGGCTTTTGTGTGTTTGCACTAAAGTGCTAACAAGAAACCCATGCGTGAATATGTTAGGCTTTTACTGCCATGGCAACATTGTTGGGATTTATTAGCATACGGAGCATTTCAGAAGCCCAGGTTGCTGGGAAAGACTGTTGCAACTTTAGATTTTGTGGAAATATGCTCATCGTGCAGTCAAGCAAAAGTTGTGAGTGTTCCACCAGATATCTCTTAATATTGTAGCCCCCGCCGAATTCCCCAAGCAGAAATCAGCACAAAATGAGTTGCAATGACATTGTTGTGAGCCTTGGTTTATAATTTGCAAATCTGAACCTCTCCAACCGGCCGAAGCAGGGCATACAATCTTTTTGTTATAAGAACACGTGAAGCTCTCAAGGATACGTCAGAACTTAGCACGTGGCAGCATGAATGGGGCCAGTAGTGAAACCTAAGGAAGGCACTGCTAGTTCAGTCCTGTATCACTTGATTTCTCGAGGTTTTGTGTAGTGAGATGCTAGGGCGGAGAAAAACAGGTATAAACCAGTTTCGCTTGGCTTGTCGAGCACTAAAAGAAGTGTTATCACTGGACACTGAAAACATGCTGTAGATCCCATCATGTGGTTGTATTGGACATCACCGAGAAGGTGGTGGGTAGTTTGAACCCCTTGCTGTCTTCAGCGACATTTCTGAGGCTTACAGATACACAACAGCAATTTCAGGCATCACGGGACACCTTATACATTTCACGCACGTTTTCTTCAGTCAGCACATCATTAGTGTACATTTTGGAGACGCACGCTGCTGACAAAGAGAGACATGTAGTGTGCATTAAAGTATCTGTCTTTGGAATTCCTTTTCTTCCTGTTGTTTTGCATTCCCTTGATTAAGCAAAGGTGGCTTATTGCAGCCACAGACTCATACTGTCAATATAAACTGTTGGCGTGGGCTAGCTTGCATACACAAGAAAGACGTTGCCTGTTCTGATGTTATTCAGTGTGTCCATGCGAGTTCACTGCAGGAATAGAATGGGCTTCTATTACCATATATACTCTTAGCAGCTGCACTCTTCTAACAGTCACTCTGCACTCTTCTAACTGCTGTTAGTGTTTGCAGTCCGCCTGCAAATAATCCACAATAGCGTGTGGGCCCCAAAGCCTTCTTGGGTTGACTTGAGTCTGCAGGAGCATTTGCGGGGGGGGGGGGGACAACTGCTATTTGAAATCTCACACCGCGCCCATGCGCTAACGCTAACCCTGCGAAGGCCGATAGCTTTGCGTACACTATTCGAAAACTTCCTATTATCTCTCAAGAAGAGTACTGCCCCTGCCACACTCCTCGCTGTGCAGGGCCCAAGCTGTCACTCTGACTGCTCCACCCAAGCGTGTACTGCCTACTGTGGGGTGTTTATGCGGACTTCGAGCATGTCCTGTTGAGCTGCGCTCTGCAGGTTCCCTTTTCCACCAAGAGAAAATGAAGCTCATTAAGGCCCGGGCCTTTCAAATTCTGGCCATCCAGAGGGCCCGCACGAAGTCGGTCAGGTCCCCAAGAGGGCCTAGCCAAGTGATGTTGACTTAACTCGTACCTATTGTGGACGAAATAAAATTGTTTCACTCACCAGCTCACTAAGATCAAAATGACAAGTTTATACAATTGCCCAACATGCCATCTCGTTTCGGGAAGGGTATCCTGGCACTCTATCAGTGGACCTCTTTTATTACCCATCTCTGACATTCCACACCTTTCAAAGGCAGTGCTGTCAGCTAATAGCATTGTGTATACTGTGTCATGGGCAATAAATGGCAAGCTCTCAGTGTTCACATCTGAGAATGCAAGCACTTATATGCAAATTAACCACCTCTACATTTATATATAAAGATCAGAGAACGAAGGTTGCTATGGCTATGCCATTGCTCACATTGCTTGTCGCTGCACGGTCATGTTGTTCCGACTGCTTCTCGTCGAGAGCACTACTATTAATGAGAAAGCTGCTATTGATGTTGTCTTTCATAAACTGAGGAATATTCAACCACACAGGATAATCTTGTAATTTAATATTCATACGAAAATTTGACGGCTAATATATAGTGCCCTGGGAAACAAGTTTTTGTTGTTGGTGGCTTGCTTTACTTAAAGGGGCTCCGAAACATTTTTCAGGTAACCATGGAATGGATTCACTAAAATAACTTATTGCCTCACGAATTCAATGCTGTAAAAATTTAAAGAATCCGTCCAGTACGAGCGGCGCTACGAAGATTGATCGCATGCTGCAGTCCCATTTTCTTTTCTCATCCCAATGAACACTTTTTTTCTTAGAATGCACAGCTTTTTCAGTGTGATCGCACACGCACCCGTGGAAAAGTCGCAGCCTCTTGTGGCGATCTTTGTAACAACCGAGCAGGCTATGTTCAAATACTTTTACGAGTGATTGGTTAGCTTCCTCCATCATTTGTCGAAAGAAGAGACAGGGATTTTTAGGTGATCTTGATAATTTAGTGTGAATTCCAGGCATTGTGCTGTGCTATAATATATGGCTTGCATGTTCTCGGTAGCCACTACTACCAATTGTCAGCATTGAAGCACCCTCAAAAGACAGTGCGTCAATGGATTACTAATCAACATGCCAAAAAAGTAATGTGTTACCACTTTTGTAGCCTAAGGTAGCAGCCAAATCAGCAATGTGTTAAGGGATGCATGTGTTAAAGCCTCCCTTGCACACACAGTAAAAGCAGTATTGAAGTGGATTTCTGTATGGGTGTTTATGCCTGTCCGCACTGCTCTTTCATTTGTACAAGTTCAGCAAAAATGATTTCGTAGTAACCTCGGTACTACAAGGAAAAAAAAAATTCTGGGCTGCGTGAGAAGGATGCTTTATAAATAATCGATAGAGCTTGTTTTTCTTTAAACACTCTCAGTAAAGTGCAAGGTAGTGTTGTCCATTCTACTCACATTTTTGCTAGAGGCTGAACTGATTGAATCACGTAGGCAGCCATTTATGGCACAGAAGCAAATAGCCAAGTTTTATTGGTTAACATTGGCTGCACTCACATGATGGTCATCAGCAAACTTTTGTCTGTTTCCTTTATATAACACACCGATTGCATAGAATAAAAGAGAGCTAGCTAAGTTGTTGTGCATTCGTGCTAAAAGACTGGGCGGGCAAACATAGATAAAAGAGAAAAGTCAAGACACCACAAAAGACACTTGTGGTGACTTCTCACTTGCGTTCGTGCTAGCAAGCCCAGTCATTCAACAGATTGCTGTATTAGGGAGTTTTCGAATAGGGGACCAAAGAAATGGGGCAAATGCCTCTGTGCATGTGCAAGGCTCAAACAGCGTTTGGATTCTGCGGGAGGTGGAGGGTGTCACTATTTCTCGAATTCAGTGAAAGCCCCAAAGCCTGCCTGAAAATTCTTGTGTCAAACAAGCATGACGGCGGCGCCCACTGAAGTGATGACTCTTGGTAACCTGGAATAGGGGGAGTGTCCAAAGCACCGCAGACCTTATTCGAATACCCTTAGCGCCTGCTTGACCCGAAGCAAGCACACTGAGAGGATTTTGGGATGTCAAACTTTTTGTACTTGTCCATCAAAGGTGACAGAGCACTGGCTTTGGTGTACTAGTGGCCATTGTGCTGCAACGCTAAGTATAAGGTTGGAAGTTGTGATTTCCATTGGCAGTGGTCATGTTTTGATTAGGGTTAAATGAAAAAAAAATGCCCTTGTAATTGGGTTTACGTACATAGTAGCTAACCTCAGGTGGTCAAAATGAACTTAGAATTTCACACTGCAGCACACCCATATTTATGTCAAGGTTTCGTCGCAGAAATTCAAGAGTTTATAAAAATTACTTAGTCTGACACATCAGTAGTCTGTGCTCGGAAGTCAGAGCCATTCTTTTCATGCGTTGAACTGTTGAAATGTGTTGGACAGCTGCCCTGGACTGTCATCCTGTGCGGTCATGATACAAATCTCAAGCGAGTTGCTCTTCTTGGAGGTTTTTGCTCTTCTAGGAGGTTTTCTAGAAGCTTTTTACACCCTCACAATCTTTGAAGCTTCAGGGAACTTGAAACGGACATCAATCTTTCAGGTGTTCTGTGCATGGTGCATAGATCGAAAGCTTATACCTGTGTTTAACTTCATTAATATCTCATCTTTGAGAATTGTTAACTGGGGTGTTTTTGTGTGAATACTTTGAAATACTATTTTTATTTTCATGTACTCTGTGACCAATACTTTGTTGCTGCAATATTTGTCTTTTCCTTCAGTGGCACTAGCCAGTACTATTCACAAAAGTCTTCATGGGAGGACAACACTCCTGTACCTTCAACCCAGCCAGCAGTCTCATCGGCCAAATGTGCCACGTAAGGAGAAAAAGTCAGCTTGTCTTTCAGCATGCTGCCCAGTTGGGAACCATGCAGTCTCCTAAATTCACATGTGTTGGCGCTTAGCACAGAGCATGGACCTTTGTATACATTGAAGCATTTTTAGTTGTACTATGCACGCTGTCTTTGTTTTGTACGTTCTTGGCTGTCATTTCGTCTATTTGCATCCGATTTTTGTCAATACTTTGTATGTACAGCTTTGTCGTAGCTTGAGCAGCTAGCGATAGCTTTGGACATTCATTTCCTCATTTTGCATTTTGGTCTAGGTGTCAAGATGTTTGTAAAAAGTTACTTCTAAGCAATATTGGTGATTTATTGCTTTATTTATAACTGTACTTTTTTGAAAGGAGCAAAACGAAGTAATTATGGTAGGCCTACTACATTCTTCCACCCTGCACAAAATGAAAAGTGCTTGCTTGAAAAAGAAGTACAACACTGGCATAAGTACTGAAGAAAAGAAGGAAAATCAATCGAAGGGACCCTTCTTTTTGTTGTGTTTGGCTATATGGCTCAACAGATAATGAGGCCGAGGCGCTTTTGAAGTGGTATAGGAAATGCAAACTGCAAACAGTGGGGAATCACAATCTTGACATCACTTCTGCTACAATGCCCACTATTAAACAGAGTCCCAGAAGGGAGCCGTGAAGTCTGATTCGCTTTTCTTTCTCATTTGCCTGAGCTTCTTTTTTCATTCTAAAGACTAGTGGTAGGTAGCCCAGAAACCCCCCCAAAAAAGAGTTTTGGAATAATAAAGTTACATTTATTTTTTCAGCCCGTCTGTGGTCCTTGGCGTGCACGGCAAAGGTATACCTATTGTTGTACTCCAGCGGCTCGAAGATGTGGTTGTTAGCGAATGTCACGAATCTTCTCGAGCCTCTGTGGCCGTCAGTGACCAGCTCTCTGAGAGTGAGGAACTGAGTAGCGAGGACACTGAGCCCGAGTGTGGTGGTGGTCTCGAGTTCCCAAAAGGAGGTCGCAGAAGGAGCGCAAGTCACAGCGCAAGTCACAGCCTCCGCAAGAGGACCCCTGCCAAGTATCAAGAAACGGAATCCTCGGATGACAACTGGTCAGTGTCTTCGTTGCGCCTTTGGCGTTAGTTTTTTCATTGAAATGAGTGCACATGTAACTAGATCCTAATGTGCATTCGTAGAAATGAGCTTGATGGGTGTTTTCTTGGCTAGTGTTTATAATAGTGCACTAAGCTAGTGAGCAAACCCAACAAGGAAGCCTGGACTGGACTTTCAGATTTCATGCTGTGTGTGTGTTGCTAATGTGGTAGTAACTGCTGAGTAGTGATCACTGTCAGTGCTTGCTGCTGACAGTCGCACACTATTTTTTTCAATCGCCTACCTTTATAGAGTCCCAAAGATATTATTACATAGTGGCCATCACCTACCCACAGCATCAATTTAAGCATGGTATTTCGGTATTATTACCAAGCAAGTTTTCATTCCATAGTTATATGCCCCGCCGCGGTGGTCTAGTGGCTAAGGTACTCGGCTTCTGACCCGCAGGTCACGGGTTCGATTCCCGGCTGCGGCGGCTGCATTTTCGATGGAGGCGGAAATGTTGTAGGCCCGTGTGCTCAGATTTGGGCGCACGTTAAAGAACCCCAGGTGGTCGAAATTTCCGGAGCCCTCCACTACGGCATCTCTCATAATCAAATAGTGGTTTTGGGACGTTAAACCCCACAAATCAATCAATTCCATAGTTATCTATACCTTTCTTTTTTGTCGGGACCTTTTGGCTAATTAAGATTGAAGGGGTTATGACACCTAATTATTGATCCTAATTCAGGTTATGTGGGTTAGTCTTAAAGCATTCACAAGTAAACTGACAAAATTTTAGCACATTTGATTGTGCACTTGATTTATAATTGAATATTTTTATAAACACGTGAGTGACCTGAGAGTTCAGCAACACTGGGGCACTTGCGGGTCGTGGCGTAACAAGCAGCTAGCTGTGCGAGTGTCTGCACTCTGGCGAAAGATATTGTTTCTTGGTCAGCGACGTGTAAAACCAAGATAGGTTAGCTTCCTTCAGGTTGGGGCTGAAATTGAACCATGTGCACTGGCTGAAACTGGGACAAAAGACGACGGCTCCGCTCCTTGCTGCACATGACATCACTCGCACACGCCATGGCAATGGCAGTCGCAGGCGCTGGGCACGGTTTACCGACGACAACTTATGGGGTTGTTTTGCCCTGAAATATTCTTTTACAGCTGACTTTTTGTATTTGCATAGGCGCATTATACCCTGTACTTCTAGTTTACGCTGAGAACCACCATTGTTGGGTGACGGTGTTATGGGGCCCTTTAAGCAGAACATCAAATTTAACAATAGAGGTCGAATTGACAGGAGCCTGCTCTTCTAAGTGACCCAACAAGTTTATCGCTTCTCCAACAACGCTTCGCTCTTATAACACAGGCGGAAGTCTGCGTCTGTTGCGCCAGGAGGGCATTCGAGTTTATTTTCTAAATTTAGGTGAAAACCATTTCTACGTGGGCTAAATTGAGCATTTGGCATGACTGGCTTATGATCCTCGTGACAATGAAGACAGCGAGAGGACATTGAAGCTCATTGTCCAGGACAAGCGCCTCCAGCCTTTCACGAGCCAAGCCCTACATTAGGCGCTACAAGGATGCCTCCGAGGTGCCTCTCAGAAAAGAGCATCAGGACTGCACTGCAATGTCTCACTGGATCCAAAATGAAACAAGTTCTTACTGACTAGTTAAACTTTGTCTCTTGCTCAGTATGTACTGACAACATTTAGGCTATGAGCAATCGGTGACTCCGACACCTTAACATAAAATGAACTCCACTGTGAGCTCGGAGAGGAAGGTTCTGATGGATGAGAAAGCAGGCCCACAGAAATGTTTTGCTTCACTTTGAGCACTGCTCAGCGGTGCCTGGGATGCACTGAATAAATTTGCTTGCTTCTCTAGTTGATGAAGCGAAGCTTCATTTCATCTGTTATACTATTAGTTAGGCAGCAGTGCAACTATACTGGTTCTCGCTTGCAAATGGATGCCAAAGGTTCTTGTTACTTCAAAATGCCAGCTATGCATTCCATGCTACTTATACTCGGTACATAGATTTTGGTGTCAGATTGTTTCATACTTTTGTCTACGCTATTTTTAGAACTTGTGCTTCTATTACAGTTGGCTATAGTTCTTGATTTTTCAGATTTTTTTAAGATCTTTGAAAAGAAGAGCATTGAATCTTCTGTATAAATTTTACCTGGTCACATCAATTTTTATCTCCCAGAATTTGTATTTATTTGAAGCAAAAGTTTGCCAATTTATGTTTTTAGTATGATGACCACTCGGAAAATCATTTTCCTTGCAACGCAACTAATTAAAAAGATGTTGCTCCAATCCTTTTCCAAAAGAGGTATTTTGTATTCCAAAGCTGCTTCAAAACAGAAAATTTGCTTCTCCGAAGCTGCTCCAAAGTAGTCATTTTACTGCTCCAAGCCTTGCTACAAAACATTGGGGCCTGCTTCCGCCCCTGTTATAATTGAAACATCCAACCCTTAGCATGCTATCTAAGCTTACGTTTATTGGTGTGCTTTCTGCTGCTACAGAAGCCATCAAGTGTGCCACGCACTAGGCTGCTTCCTGCTTCAGCTCTGCTTTGCATTCAAGAAGTTGCATCCATTTCAGAAGTTCTGAGGCTTGGTGGTGATGACATAGTTGAATCCTGCCTTGGAATGTATTGTTTCTCAGTTGGGGCTTTTTTTTTCTCAAAGGCTGTTAGATGGCTGACATATGTTCTAAATGTTCATGCACTGTCCTGTTTTTTTTTTTTTTAACACAGTGCCCCACAACTAATTTTCTGGAGTGATATTGACAAAGATCTCTTGATGTCACCGTTTTTTTTAACGATCATCTTGTGTATATTGCATGATTTTGTTGGACTCTTGAAGACTGCCCTGTTACGGTCAATGCTGTGAAAGCTCACATGTGAGTGGCAACACTGTATTGTTGGTGTTAGACCTTGCATAGCTTGAATAGAGAGTGTAATTTATTTATAATGTTGAGAGTAACATAATCTGCATTACGCTGTAATGTGAATATAAGTTTCAAATGTGGAGCTTGGGAAAGGACACTGCTTTGCGGCAACCTGTTTGATGTGAACAGCAGAGAAATAAACATCTGTGACTAAAGCCATATAAATCCAACTGCCAAAGATTTATGGGAATACTGTACTGCCTGAACTGTTTTACTCACGTTTTGTACTTTGACTTCTGGGTTTCGTGTGGAGCACAGACAGCTCCTCCACTCTACCATTTCAGCTTGATTTGTGTCTGCAGCCTACATCAATGGAAACTATAAGGACTGCATTTTTCTCTTACAAATGATTGGTTAGGCTTGGCAATGAAAGCATTTGTTAGGAGACACGACTGATCCTAAGGTAGAGACCAATGGCTTGTCTCTTGTAAAGGATGGTCACCCTTTATTTTCATGCTCATATTCAAACTGTATTTTTTTCAACAGATTCGTACGTTCAGTATGTGTGCCACATTTCCAATTATCACCTGTGCTGCCTTTGTTTGCTAATTAAGAAAACAAAAAGCACACATTAAATTCAGGAAAAACCTACAGGTGTGATGTGGTTGGAATATATAGGCATTAACATGTTCTAGAGCTCCTATGCCTTGGCATTTGGTGCTGGAGTTTATGTATGTTAAATGTTGGCATCAGCAGAAGTGTGTTTTGCTCTGCCTGAATGTTATTTAGCACCGTGTAATGCACACACTTCGATTTATTTCTACTTCTCACCTTCATTGTTAGGCTAACTTCAGGAAACTTTTAATTTGGTGAAATTGGTTTGAATAGTTAATGTGTACCATTGAAGAAATTTCTACAACACTGCAGAGCAGATAATTCTAAAAAAAATTTATTTCAACAATAATTAGGCTAATTTCAGAGAACTTTTAATTTGGTGAAATCGGTTTAAATAGTTAATGCGTACCATTGAAGAAATTTCTGCAACACTGCAGAGTGGATAATTCTGGAAAAAAAATTTATTTCAACAAGATTGTCACCTTAAGCAAATGATGTAAGCACCCCGCAATGTTGTCAATGCAGCTCGAATCCCGCTCGCAAATCCAGGAATGTTAAATGTGTCCTAGGCACTACAGAATGGTGGAAGTCGTGTTGAAGTGTCGGGCTTGTTCTTAGTGTTCTTTCTGGGCCATGTTCTATTTCTCGTGAGAATGGGTGGGTGGGGGGGGGGAGGGTTGTATTTTTATTTTTTTGCTATATTTAATATACCAGAAGTGTCTGTGTTTTTGCCAGCTTTTCATTAAACATCCACTCGTATGAGAATATATAACTGAGGCTGCTCCAGGGCTGTCCCAGTGTAACACTGGAGCTCATCCTTTCATGGAACAAGGTTCTTAATGCACTTGAAAGTTTTGTTGTAAATAGCCTTTAATAAGCAGGTTTTTATAAGTGCAGTCATAAGTTAAGTGAGGCATTTATTTGTCTTGATAATAAGGCTGCTAAACTACATGCTAAACTACATGAAAAAATCTTTTCTACTGCGGGCCAGTTGCCCTTGGGTTTGTCAAGTTAAATACAATGGCTGTCTTGTTTGCTATACGACAATGCATAGGGGAAGAACGCCTTAGGAGCACAGGAAAGGGGGCTGTCATGTTCTCCAATTTTAAAAGTATTTAACGGTGGCTGCTGCTGTGTTCCTTATAATAACTATCTACTGTAGTACACGTTTGCTTATAGACTGGCTGTTGTAATGTGTTTATTCAGGTTTAAAGCAACTGAAAATTCATGTTTGTGTTATTGTTATTTTGTGCACACATTCGAGTTGAATGTAGATTGTATTAAAAAAAAATGTTCCCAGAGATTTGAGTTCAATAAATTTTGCTTACCAGCGATTCACTTCATTTGTTTTATTAAATAGAGATGGTGTGGTCATTTGCATCAAAACTCGAGCACCTGCTTGTTTTTCTGTGCTGAGAGTGCTGAATTGGCAAAGCAGGGAGGTATCTTATGGTTTTTGTGGCTTGAATAGCTATTACACTGTAAGTTTTGGACCTGATTCAACTAAATGGTTTATTTGGCTGATGTTTCTGGGCACATCAGAAAGCTCTTGGAGTAAACGCCGTTTGGCTGGCCCAAATGAAGCATTTCTGAACATATTCATTGGCTTCTTTCTAAGTGCAATGGCTTTAGCTTTGACCTTATAGTGCAAGCGTACTCTGGTAGCTTCCATTGTTGACTCATTGATGTCACACTAGTGCATCAGCGTCTGTGCAGCTTGCACGTTAAGAATGGAATAAAAGCTGACATAGTTTGTCTTAAGAATGTGGATTGTGCTAGCAAGTGGCTTCGCAATCAGGTCGGTTGCACTTTTTTCAGGCTTCTATGAAGTGCTGGATTCATGTCTGAGTTAAGCAGGGACCAGAGCTGAATTGACTATTTGTTTTGCAATTATCTGTGACTTTTGTATGTTGCATGGTGTCACCAAAGTATTTTTCCAGCTTTAATGTGTCACATGCGTACTGCCATGCTATAATTTAACTGCCTTTATAAATTGCTTAATTTTAAAATTTGTTGCAGCTCAGAACAGAGCTTCGGTAGGTTACCCTCGCACAGCTAGACGTTGTTTCTTCAGGCCCATGTGCTTCATATCTTGCGTTTGTGTATTACATGTACATTCGAATAAAGAAACAAAATTTGATATTATTCTTGCGCTGTGTGCTCCTTTTGACACACATCTTAGGTTCCCAAGTCAAAGCTGCAACAAAGAGGCATTATAATACTTATTTTCTGCTTTTTGCTTAATACATGGCTTTAGTATTATCGCACTCTTACTGACCAGCCCACTTACTGACCATTTTCTCGCCGCTTTTTCTTCCCTCTTCTCTCTCTCTCATTTTATACTTGCTTTCCCATTCCCCCAGCGTAGGGGGGCCAACAGGTCATGTGCCTGGTTAATCTCCCTGCCTTCTCTCTTGTTGTTCTTTCTCCTCCTCCTTCTGTGCATGCTAGATACACTTTGTGACTGGAACAGCTCTCTTGACGGCCGTTTTAGCTAGATAAAAAGAGAACGGAAAGAGGCATCACACGAAAGGAGCCAACAGTGATATGTCTGTTGTAAATATTTTGGGTACTTTTGCATCAAAAGAGGATTTGGGATTTGAATGAACGTTTAGAATTTGTTGTAGATAAGCTTTTTAAAGGTCATAACCATCAAGTATGTGTTTATTGAATGCTGAAGCACGTTATTGGTAGTTTTATTAGACATGCAGGTCTCCTAAACCACCTCCGTTATTTATTTATTTTAGCTCTTTTAGTAAATGGGTGCATCAACTTCAGAATGCAGTCTCGATAAACAATTCCAAGTTTGGCAGCACTATGTGCTGTGGGTATACTTCGAAATCGATAAACAATCTCGTTCTGATCTCGAGGTTTTTCCCAGCATAATCAGTACAAGTCGTGACGTCAGGCGTGACATCAGCAGCATCTTCTGCTGATGACCTGACAAAAACTTCTTTGCTTACAGCTACACTCACTCCCTGCTCTTTCACCTTCTAGGCTAGGAAAGGACCTCATGGAGCAGTAGAGATTATGATGAACAAAGTAAAGCAAAGGAGAGAGGGAAGTGAGTGACTGATGTGTTTTACTCAATGAATGTGATTAACTACGCTATGATGGTGTAATCGCAAAAAATTCTCGAGGCTCTGTGTTTGTTGTACATTCACGCACAAGTGCGACGTCAAAACAAAATTTCACCTTTCAGGTGGTTGGGGCCCTTTAAGGGCTCTCAGTATAATTGTTTAACACGACTTGGGAGATATATTGATATTGTAAGTTATTGCAACTACTTGTAAAGTGGCGGACTCTATCTGAACTAGAGCATTCTTTTATGCATGCGGCTTTTGTAGCCTGAGAAGTTGTACGCTTAGTTGCTTATACATATTTTGCCCAGGGAATGAGACACTTTGCTTGCTATCAAAGGCTACTGCGTTAGGATCTAATCTAGCAGATCTGTCTGCTAATAAATGCTCTCGCTTTTTAATCTGCCCTGCTTTTTACCAGGATATGGGTTCTTGACTGGATGGGTGATAAAAGGGATATGGGATTGCAGGAAAATGACCCTTGTAAGAATAATCCCACAAAAACATCAATTTCATAATTGTGCCTATAACAATGCTTCAGTAAACAGCTTGGAACATGTTAGTACCATAGGTTATGCTAGAGACCTCGAGGCTCTTTGTGGAGTTTTCAAAAAAATTACAGCTTATTTGGGGAACAAGTTGATGTGAACGTGCAAGCCAGATGTTGTACTGCATACTTCAGGGAGTTTATAACCTCATGTCAAAAACACTTAAAACATCACTTTCTCTCTTTCTTAAAGATGTTTGGTGTTACTAGTAAGCAGGAGCTAGCAATGGCATTGGGTATTGGCGGAGGTTATGATAAGAACATTCTAAGAAGTTCTTGAGTACTAATTTTGGGCAAAATAAATTAAAAATGTACATACATGTCGGTGATCTGAAAAAACCAATGAAGTATTTCATTAAGTATTTTATGGTTCTGTTGGTGCCCTTGCGATTGGTGTTTCGCTTTCTACTACATGCATATAAGCTGGCGCCCGGCCCGCTACATGCAAGCTCAATTGAGCACAAGCGGCTGGGATCAGTCGCCTGCCTCAAGCTGATGCGTTAAAACAGTAGTTGCCAATAATCATCGCCTCCAAGACCACATGAATGTTTTCCAGTGCACACTAGCTCCCTTCTGTGCACCTAATTTCTGCTGTGTAGAATGGGTTCTATGTAGTGCCTTCACAGAACCCGTGCATTAGCGAGACTCTCTTTGCAGCAAACCTATGCTCCTAGCGGCCTCTATAGTTGATGTACTTTCAAGTGTATGGCACTGCACGGAAACTCTATGGCCTGTCTTGACAGGAGAGATTGTAGTTCTTGCCTGAACCTCAGGGCAGGGCCAACATGTTGGAAAAAAAAAAAAATCTCTGTGGCTTATCTCAGCTAAGCCCAGTAATGCAAGCGAAAGCTTGTTTACTTGGCTATGCTTGTTTACTCTTGAAGCTGAAGCACAGTTTGCCAACCAAACGTTATGGCCCCTAAACCACCAACAGACGCTCGTGCTCGTGCTCTGCTATAGTTGCCAACTACTTTCCTCGACAGCACTATGGAAGCTACAGAACCAAAGGGCATGCCTGCTACCGCATCCAAACATAGTACTGAAATTTACTAATCATTTTTCTATTTGTATTGAAAAGATACTGCTTTATTTGTTATAGAACTCGTACTGTTGCTGGAAGTCGTAAGTAAAATACTGGTACTGTTCACTTTGCAAGAATGCCTTCCTTTCCATTAATTTAGTTAGCGCCACCTTTTCAGTGCACCCATCTTCCAATGTAAACATGGCATCCCTGACGCAGTAGTCGAAGTAGTGGGTGAACGTCCGGCCACAAATGCGCTGTTTAGTTATATAAGAAAAATATATTTGTGTGACACTAAAATGTACACTTAATCTTTGAAATGTGTCTCTTATTGAAATTTTCATGTACATATATTATTTTTCAAATGAATTAAAAATGCCAGCGAGTGAAACAGGAATCAGTCGCAAGCCACGGTATTACTTGCGGAGCAACGTGAATGTGCGGAAGCCTCTCTCCATAGCATTCACTCCATAGCGCTCACATGCCTCATAAACATGTCTTTGTTCAAGCACATAAAACTACCGAGTGTAATTTCAATTTAATGTAACATTTACTGAAGCTGACAAAGTAGAAATTAAAAGGCAACAAAAGCTGCTGCAGAAACCAAATAAAAATTACACCTCTACACTATCAGGGGACTTTGCAAAAATCGCACACAGCTATCATCCAATGGCTCCAGACAAACTATAGCACTGCTTTTCTCTTTGGCCACTAAACTCGGCCACATGTTATACTAGAAAGCTGTCATTCTTGTTATTCTTTGCTCGGCAAGCTTATCAAAGGGGCATGGAGATAGTTGTGGCCCCATCGGCGACGTTTCTCTGCTTCACACTAGTGTTATACACTGCCTGCACATATCTTCTCTTCGTGTTTTTATGTGTTCTACAGTTTTCTGGGTAAACCATTAGGACAATTATATAGTGTTCACGTTGCTTCTGAAGGCTTTCATGGAAGGATCCGTATGCTACTGTTTAGTCTGCATTTTTATGTCAGATGACCTTCACCTGTCTTTGTGAGTGAGTGTAATGGGGGACGAAAATGTTAATGTTAGCTCCTCCTTGCTACAGTGAAAACATTATCTTAATTTGTAAGACTGTGTTTCTTTGCCTTGGTCATTGTTTGGCTTGATTTGCTACCTTTTTTTCTCAGTATGCAAATAGTGCCTGGCATTTTATGGAACCTTGCATACTGAACTGTACAAACTGTTGTGTAATCGACAAGCAGTGTTCTTTCTGTCTCTAGCCTGAAGCGCTGCAAGCAATGTGGGCAGCTCCTGGGCAGTGTGTCAATGGCAGCATTATCAAGAAGTTCAGTAAGTTCACTTTTTCTTTGGTACCATTTTCTTTCAAGTGCTTGCAGCTGCTATGTGCATATTTGCATGAGTATGAGATGAGTGTGCATTTGAAAACTCATGGCAGGCATTGTGTCTACTTCATGTTTATTAGTTTTGAGTTGCTTGAGTGCCACGAACTCTTATGTCTCATTTTAGACATTTACAGTTCGACACCCTTCCTGTTATAGTGCAGAAAACTTGACATAAAGTAATTAGGGAGGATGCTGTATCGCTACTGTCCCCAAACATTTGCAGTCTTCTCATAACGATTTAAGAGTGTTTTAGTTTGGCCACAAACTTCTCAGTAATAGTGTTTCATCTGATTGCCATAGCCACAAGCTTGAGCGGCCCAGACAAGTAAGCCAATCTTGTGGTAGAGAGATAAAACAGACAAGCACTTAACGTGAACGTATGTAGTCTGCTTCTTTGGTGGTGTAAATTTTCAGCAGCGGCATAATTCCGAGTGCACTGCCTATAAAACTTTTTATTGTTAAGCACACCAATGAGGCATTGGCCAAACACACGATTGTTGCTCTCGTGACATTGCAGTGGTTACTATGCTGCATCCCTGAACACCTGTAGTGGTGTGTTTGTCACGTCAATCACTTTGCCAAGGCTGACGTCGCACACAGTGGGGCCAGTAGTAGTGGGAAGGGAAGTAGGCAGCTCAAGCAAAACCATTAAATTCATTTGTAAGAAACCTGTGCATCTCTCAAGCCTGTAAATCAGCATAAGTGACAGAACTATGCAAAGGAATGCACCTAGTTAATTGCATTGAGATCTACTTACCTTGAAATATTACCGAAGTCTGCCTTTCAACATGGTACAACAGTCGAACTTCTTTACAAAAGGCACTGATATGAGACCAAAGGATATAAAAGATACCAGTGTGCCTGAAGTAAAATATGGGTTAAGAAAATGGATAAAAGGTACCCTGCTTATAAGAGACAACTCTTATAAAAGACGAGCATTGCTGCCTGTAGTAAGCCTCCTATAAAGGAGTTAAACTGTATAGGTCAACCGTAAAGACTTCCATATTTGCATTCAGAAATGTTTGCGATTGGCAAGTTTAATTTTCTGCTCCAAAGTTAGGTTTTTATCCATTCCAGAAGATATCACTTATGTCACTGGGACGATGAAAAAAAGTGAATGCAGTGTGCAGTAAGCACTTAGTGACAGTGATAGTGAAGGGATTGAGAGAAAGAAAGTGGAGGAAGGCACAGTGGAAGCATGAAGGGAGAGCGGAGGAGGAAGTAGAGATGGAGAAACCGTAGTGCAAAAGAGGGTAAAGAAGCAAAAAGAGAGAGCCACCATGGCTAGAGATAGTGCTTCACACAAGCCACACATCTTGCTTTCTTTTTAAAAGCGAGCAATGCAACCAGCAAAGGTGCTTTGATTGCTGGTGTTGCTAAGTGAGATGCCTGAACAGAGGCTCGTGGCCACTGCCGCTATAATCCAGAGGTGTGTGCTGTCGAAGAAAAAAAAAAAACATCATTAGTGAGAAGACTTCAAGGTATGGGCCGCTAAAGCAAATCCTAAGCACTGCTGCCAAGAGTGCCCTCCGTACATTTATCGCACGTTCAGAAACAGCTGTGCGCAGTTTTCACATATGGTTGTATTGAAAGTTTTAGGCATTCTGTGTCATTTTTGGTAGGTAACATGCTCCCTGCTAGAGTTATATCAGTGTCGCACGGTGCACTGCTGATTGCATTTAGGCCCTGTCGAACTCCAATTTCTCAATGGTAATTGGCTTGCTTCTGTAGCATGTGTAAGGAAGCCAGTCACGATAAAGAAATTCTATACCGATTAGGCACGTCCATGATCAAAAGTGCCCGTGTGAAACTGACGTTAAGCGGAATTTCTTAGCTAACAGGTCAACATTGGCTGCTGAGTTTTTAAAGTCAATTAGCACTGTGATTTTCTCTTTGAACGTCGCTCAGGTCACAGAGGAGCAGTTACTGCGGAGACCAGAGTTTTTAACCGAAACTGGGGAGAAGCCAGCCTGCAAGGTGTTCAATGCCCAGTAAGTTTCAATGTTCAATCATTCCCAGATTTCACTTTCCCGCTACTCGGATCACCTGGGTCGATCCGCCGCAAAATTTCCCGATTTATCTTGCCACGCATGGTCTAAGCAAGTTTGCACAAGTCTGCATGCAGTTCCCCTTCTCATAAATCGCCGGTGCAAAACGTATTTGCAAGGCAATTTTTTCCTACAGCTAACTACTTTTTTGTTTTTTTTTTAATGAAAACATTGCTTTTCTGTGAAGTTATTGTGTTTATTGAGGTTATTTATTTAGTGATGCACTCAATAACAATTGGTAATTTGTGAATGTTTTCTTCAAAAATAATTCTTGAGTTAAAGGATTTATAGTGTGCACAACCTTGGCAAGGTTGTCTTACCGTGCAACAGAGTGCCATACACCGAGATGCCCCGTGGTGTCTTTTGTACTGATGCTTACGACTGTGCTGCTTTGTGTTATTGCTTGTAACAGTTCATGTACTTGCACTCTCGTGGCAAATACATTTTTAACTACAGACAACATGAACAACATTAGGTGCAGGTCAACACCAACTCAGAAGTGTGTCAGGGTCAGGTTATACTTGAATAAATGCATCATAACTGCATTATAAAAATGTATTTATGGAAATGTCACAAAATTTTGTGGCCGAGATAGCCGGCTGAATCAGTTCCGTTGAACATGTGGATTTCATCTGCAAAATATCAACTGCGAATATAGCTTGGTAGGTATTTTACATGAATTATGAAATTTGAATGTGCGATTGACACCCGTAAAGATGGCCCCACAGTGACCCCCCTACTTTTTTCACATCGCCATACCGCCATTTTACTTGTGCCCCGTTCGCTCAAGCAGGGTACTTCTCGGCTGCTGCTCGTGAGCTCCTGGCGACGCTCACGTTGAATTTTTTGTGTTTGACGACACTGCTGTTCTGTTTCCTGTTCGAAGGGACTTGTTGTTGATACGGACCATGCGGAAGTGCATCACAGTTTCGTGTGCTGACCACAACCTCCTCTATAAAGGGTGACCTGCTCATAACGGCCCTCTCTATGACTGCATGCGACGACTCCAGCTTTCGAGATCATGTGTTCACTTAGTTACCTAAAGTGCAGCGAGAGGCCGCCTCAACTTACCCCATAGCAGTCGATGCGACAGCTTGAAAAGGGCGTAACTCCTTCTAGACGACTACCGCGCTGCGGGTGTGTGGCAGTTTGTATTTTTTTATCTTGCTTCAAGAACTTGCATAAAGGCCTTTAATATGTTGCTCTGTTTCACTAATGCATACAGATGAGGCTGAGATTATGAATTAGGTGCTCTGATGACACGCGATTACTTCGGTCCAGTACAGCAGTCCCAACAGTTACTTTTCCTAACACGGCGGTTTGGGTGCGTGCGGTGTAAATATTGTCTACTGCCGCTCTGTGTTGCACATTCATGCGTCCTTCATCACGACAGCTTAGATAATAAAGCCGGCAAGGTAATGGGAATGACAATGGAAGCGTTGCAGTGCACAAAAAGTGGTTCTCACAGGGTGTCACCCTTGTAAATGACAACATTGATGGTGCTTTGTACTTGCGACCTAATATTTTAATGTTTGCATCGTCCAGAAGTCTTGCGTGCATCATCACAGAAATGGGAATATTTAACGATTGTAGATGTGTGATTTACAGCGCAGATTTGCATGAAGAAAAGTGTATAAAAACTGCAATGTTCACGTTCTTGTCTCTCGTACACTCAACCAGAGTCTTGGTTTCAAAGTCTAAGCTTGTGGTCACTAGTGTCATTACGAGTTGCGATATTAAAAATTACATGGAGTATAATTAGTTCCAGGCATACTTATGAGTGAAGTATAGTACAAGCTACAAAAGTTTTTTCATCACCATACTTAATACATTCTTTTATGCACCAAAGTGAACCAAGATGATCAACTTGCTATGCATTTAACTTGGGAGCATTGGCACTTAATCATTTGTCCAAATAAAACCAGCGCACTTCTGTTATCTAGAAGGGTAGAATGCTCGCATTACTTTCCTTTAACTTTTATATTAAAGAAACTGTTTGTTCATAAAGAACACACTTCATGCATTAATAGTGAATGCCAGACCATATTCTTTAATATTTTGTCGGGCTCAAACCTTGAGTGCTTTTCGCGATTGTGCCTCAATTTGTGTGCAGCAACTTTCTTCTGGCGTGTTTTTCAGTCATGTCGCTGAAAAAGTTTGACAGGAAAGGTCACAGGAACTTCAAGAGAATTAACAAGTGTAGTTGTATATATTACGCTGTTGTCTCTTTCACAGTTAAAGGGTTTTTGGTAATAGATGGAAATATGGCATGCTTGAACTTTTGAAGTGGCATCTAATCAGTAAAATTGCCACTCGTGAGGCAGCAAATTCGAGAAGGCTGACAAAGCCAACGAAAGTGATACTGGGGTATGACAGTCTACCCCTATCAATGCCAGCAATTAAGGCGGTTGTTGAGTGTGATGTCGGTGATTCAAGTATCAGAGTGCACCCTTCAGACATGACATTATATTGAAGTGCTCGCTTAAGAAAATCAGCGATCAGAGCAAGTGTGATGTCGGTCCACTCGATTTACAGAACGAAGTGCTACGATAAACCTTGGTTAAATGGCTTACGGTTGCGACCAGTGCTGTTACACATCGAAGCGATGAAAAGAAAAACAAAAAAGGAAAGACCAATGGACCTGGCACGCAGTAGCAGCATAATAACTACACGTGGGATGCTTGTGCGACGGGAATAGGGTTTTTCGATGTGCTCGCCCATGGGGGTAAGTTGCAGTGCCAACCTTGCTGTGTGGCCACTGAAAGAACTAAAAAATAATAAACAAGCAAAAACAAACTGGCCGCCACAGTGCGAGCAGGTCGCTCATTTTATGGAGGGGTTCATGGTGGTGACGTGGTCGAGCGTTGCACATGCTATACTCTGTTTCAGAAGTTCCCTTCAGCACTGTGGCCTACAGGCCCCTCAGCCAACGGGAAGGGGGCTTAGCCCCTCCACATGTATTCATTCGCGTTGTGTCGTCTGCGCACCATATTCACGGCGTATGCTTGAAGAATTGTAGTTATTATGGCTAGTTAATTAAATTAAAAATTGCTGTAAAGATATTAAACAAGCAACTACACCGAGAACTTGGAGAAGATTGAATTTGTTGCTCTGCTGAAGATCGATAGAGTCTTATGCCCGCGGATAACTTCACTTTGTGGCTGTTTCTCTCCGACGCTGTTTATGGCTTTCGTATGTCTGTTTCTCAGTAGAAGTGTTCCTTCGCGTCTACCGCTGCAATGATCCTTTTCTCTTTTTTTTTTCGTTTCCACCGAAGGAGGATACGACGCGCACGAAATGCTGTGTGAGGTTGCATGCCCGATATTTGGAGGTGCAGCGTTCTTGGTCTGACGACGCAGTGCGACCACTGCCTCGGCACGTTAGGCTTAGTAGGTGCGACTGCAGCATATCTCTCCAATATCAACAAAACGTACTTGATGAGTGAGATGAAACAAATCGATGGCTGATGTCACCATTTGTTTACTGCTGTCAGCGCAGAAAGCGTGTAGCAAGAGCAAGTCTGGATCGAAGTGGGCAGTCACAATCTGCATGGGTGCTGCCGTGTTGATTCGTAAACACAGTTATCAGCGGTAACCGACACAAATAATTCGATGCCTAAGAAATAAATGCGAAGAAGAATAAACATATTATGTATCGATGTGGCGTAAAACACACAAAAGAAACAACAATTTTAGCCAACCCTGTCAATTTTAAGGCACTCGCATGTGGGACTATGTTTCGCTGTGCAAGCATGCGGCTTTCTTACACCCCGTAGCTTTGGTAGTGCTGAACCAAAGTGGTGAAACAGGGTATAGGTGGTGATGGTCACACCCGGTGGCTTGTTTTTGGAGCTCTCTGAAACTCAGACTGGTCAGTAATGAGGAGCCTGTAATTAGTTATGTGTTGCATGCTGCAGGAAGCAATGTGCCGTGATATGACTAAAAGGGCCCCAGCAAGATATCGCAGCAAAAAAAATGCGAGGCAAAAGTTTTTGTCAGTATCCCCCTTTAACTACTAAGTTAATGCGATCGGTGCATCCACAGAAAATCGGCGCACCCACAAAAGGCAACAGAATAATAGCGTACTAAACAGTCATGAAATTAGTATCTTTAGTTCTACTGCATTGTGGACCAAAAGAATATATGACTGTTTGAATTGGGAGCACTTTCTACAAACACTCTTCTTCACCTTCAGGCATTGTTAAAACGCATTATGCTCTGAATCGGCTTGCATTTTTCGTGAGATGGATACCTTAGAAGTTGATGCAACCTACCTGCAATGCTATCAGATCAAAATAAAGAAACATACCTGAGCAGTAAGTGCTTATGATCACAGCTGTGCATTTTAAAACACTGCCATACAAAGCTTGTAAATGTCCCACATATGATGCTACTGGTGCTGCATTGCACTTTCGTTAGCACTGTTTTACCTAAAGAACACAGCAAACTGTCATAGCATATGGTCACATCGAAGCATGTTCTCAACATGAAAAATATGTTTACAAGCTCTGTTAAGGATACCTCAAGCATGCTACTAGCTCCTATTACATTTTGACGTCTTATTTAGATATTGCATTATGTATTTTTTTTTTCACATCCCAGGATTTATGATCAATACGAGCACCTTGTTGCCCTTGACGAACCCAAAAGGCTCGACAACGTCCACCTTTTCTTTTCGGCGCAGATTTCACCAGTGTGGGGGGAAGAAAGCGAGAGTGAGTGAAGCCGTTGCTCAAGTGACGACATTCGTAGAAACTGCATGGTGTTCGATACACGAGGTTCTGCTCATTGGTGAAACAAGCTGAAACAGTGCTGGAAAGATGTACGCACACAATGAATGAAGTGCCTATTTCGTTGATGAGGTGTTAAACATGCTGTATGGTTGATCATGAATGCGGCATCAGCAAGCTGAAACAGGATGACTCAAAACTGGTTACGAGCATGTGTGTTTTACTTGCGCTTCATATTTGATTTTGTCATAAATATACAGTGATTGGCTACTGATAATATAAATACGTTAGGGCTAACTAGAAGGCGTTCTTCCGTTTGTTTTGAAGACCACACGTAGTCCCCACATGCATGCTTAGTAGGCTTGTGCGAATAGTCAATTTCTGGTTCAGAGCAAATTTAAAGCGAATAGTGATTTTGGTTGAATTATTTTGAATCGAATACAAATATTATATATGACATATAAAAAAAATGGGCATATTTTTCATGACCTAACCAACCAGCACAATATTTTTTAAAAATTGAAATAAAGCCTCTATGTAAATTCTTTTTTTTCTTCATTAAAAGGAAGTCAAAAGAACTTTGAGTAGTAGCAAGCTTTGACTTTCAGCAGGATGCGAGTCATAACCCTTAAAATACATAACATTTTAATATATATTATACTTAGAGCATATAATCTGTCATAATTGGCTTTTAAGCCTAATAAAATGAATCGATTTGAGATTAATATTTTGATTTAAAGCGGCTGTGCGCTATTTTTTTAAGTAGCCATGGGATGGATTCACTAAAGAGGTTATTTATTGCCTCATGAATTCACTGCCGCAAATATTTTTAAAATCCTTCCAGTACGCAGGAAGTTGCAAAGATTTCTCACATTCTGCAAGTGTATTCTCTTTTTTTGTCCCGACGAAAGCGCTGGAAGCTAAGCAGGGAGGGATGGCACAAGGAAAAAAAATACGTCGCATGTGGTTTCTGAGCTTGGGGAGTTTTTTCCCGAGAGCAGAGAGCAGCTTCTAGCTGACTTACGAGAATTCATTGTGAATCGCACGCCGCGTGCTGCGCTCTAATATTTGACTTGCGTGTTCTTGGTAGCCTCGACCACCGATCGGCAGCGTTTTCTAACAATGCTCAAAAAGTGTTGCAGAGCCCCTTTAAATTTAAAGGGAAGCTTCGTGGCAGAGCAGATTTCTTTTAAATAGGTGCTTACACAATTCAGCATCTTCACACTGCAGTGAAACCACCTTACAGGTTGTACATTCGGAATTATATGCTTGTATTTGTTCGTTGCGAATACTTGGAAATTTTCAATAATTTAAATTCGAATAGAAGCGAATCTGAATACCCTGCTATTCGTTCGGATATTTGAAGCATTCAATTATTCGCACAAGCCTAATGCTTAGTGCATGCTTAAATAATCCTTGACAACCGTGTTGTCACCTGTGGAAGATTGTGCTCTGAGTGATCAATGGCAGAAGCTCTTCCACTTCATGGTTTCTTGTTTGCTTTTCATTTGTCTATTATAAAACAGGGCACATCCATGAAGATGAAAAAGAAAGAAATCAACAACACAAGCTGTTTGTTGTGCAGAAAAATTTAGTGCAGAGTTAAAGCTTCAGTGCACAAAGGTTTATAGGAGACACAGAAACGATGAGGACAAGCACCGACTTCCAACTGTCATGCTCAACAATACACTCGACGAACGGCAACCATGTTCACAACACAATCCTTTATTTTTCACACCATGTGTGTGACTCTCTGTCCCTCTATGTTCCTTTCCTCACACTTTGTTGCTCCCCCTAACTGTTCACTTAGCACTTGCACCATCTCGTTCTTCTTTTATCAACTACAGGAGTCTGAAAAGAGCCACCCTTGTTGTACAATCTGATACAGTAGCTGCTATCAGGCAAACCAACTCTCATACATTTATTAGCCTTCTTTTGCAAATGATCACATCGCCAGCCGAATCTAGTGAATCACTTGTGACATGCTAAACAACCTTATACAATATGCCAGTACAATACACAAGCAACATAGCAAGCAAAAGGCATCGCGAATGTGGCGTCGTCGATGGTGGACTCGCCACAAAGAATCCACGGGAAATGACCTGTGCTGTCGTCTACCACAGACCCACCACGGGAGCCATCCGTCGGCATCAGCTGCCAACCCCGAAAGAGACCTCCCAACTGTTTCTTGTGGGCCCACCTAACCTTGCTGCTTGTGCCACCGCGCCAACTATAACTTGCGCAAGCACGGCACCACTTGTCACTCAGTGGTTGTTAAACCTAACTACACTGCCTCGCAGCCCTTGAACACAAGGGTGCAGATGAGGCACTTGTGCTAGTGTCAAATATCTGCACCGTGCTTTGTTATCAGAGCCTTTTGTCACCGATTCTCACTATACACTTCACGTCACTGTCATGATTTTATTATTTCAATGTTTTACCCGTCTTAGCGCGAGGAATTTTAAGGCCCTTATACAGCCACCCAACACATTCATTGTTCACATCTCTCGTCCTATGACCTGGCACTCTTTGGCTACCAAATGGCCCTTGTACCACAAAACACCACACATCATCAAACTACAGTCAATCTGCAAGACGTGCATGTGCCATAAGGCGCAAACAGACTCGGTAGGAATTTATAGCACCTCCACAAACTACACAGTCTCAGAGACCCACACCCAACACATGCACATACTTCAATCCATTTTATCTCTCACTCAACTAAATTTACAGTAAAGGAACTTTCAAATATATACGCGATAAATGTGCTCACAATCATACCTATCTATGCACTAGGACGATAAAACAAACTAGGCCCAAAAAGCAACAAACTACGCAGCGCCTTTCCCCCCATCCTCTTCTCTTGTTATCTGCTCTGCACCCTTTTTGGGCTGAAGCTTTAACATTATGCAATATGAAATAGCCAACTCCTACACCTTGTTTTAGTGCAGTGCCTGTACATATGGTTTTTCAAGAGGCTTGATTCATTTGAAAAAGTTTTACTTACAGCGGGCAAAAATGTAACCAGTTTATAAAAATTGGTGCAGTGGTTGACAACAAAGTCACTGTTTATTCATTCCTATGTATTTACACTCAAACCTCATTATAACAAAGTTACATCTTACAAGAAAATACGTTCCTCATATTCAAAAATTCAACATAAAGGTTATTGCTAACATTTTATCTATTGTAAGACTACTTTTCATTTACTTCGTTATAACTCATATTTTATAATATTTGAGTTCGTTATATTAGGAATGCATGAGCTAATGCTTCTTTTAATGTGGCTAAGCATTAAAGTGCAACCACAGTCACCGGCTGGCCCTAGGCTCTGCCTGCTTGAAATGCAGTATGCTGAGCCAACTGGAAATTCTTGCTGTGTCGTGGTCAAACAAAGTATGGAATAGCACAGTAATTCTGTGACGAGTAGTGCCAGGAACACAAAAACATGCAACTATATAAAGCACATATGACAAGCTATGTGTAAGCGAAAATGGAGGTTTCTGACTCATACCTGTGTGCATTGGCCTTGCTCTGAAGGCTTGTCTGGCTTCACAATGAGTCTAATGTAGAATCATAGAAAAAGAAGTTGTGTAGTGCTTACTCACAGATAATTAACTTCCTTTACGTGTAATTCTTCTCAATATTAAAGAAAATATTTTATGAAGGATTACTAGGACACTGCCTCTAAACTTCATACTGCATTCTTCTTTTATTCCCTATTACAATCGCTGGTATTGTAAAAACAAGTCGCTCATGGGGGATTGGGACTCATCTGCCAATGCCGTTTTTTCGGTGACTCTCCTCTCTTTGAACTTCCTTACTTCACTATGCATACTGAGTGCACATGCAACATAAAATTTCAACTGAACCTTACGAAATTTTCTGTTATCCAGATACTTTTGCTGTCAAAATGTTCATTGTCGAGGCATATGACTTTCGGATATTGTTTCATTGTTCACTGCCTTGATTATACCTAAAAATGCTTTTAATGCATTGACTATAGAAACGATATACATTACTAATCAATGATGATTGCAGTCCTGCAATTGTGTGGTCATTACAACTATAACCAAAGTGTACATGTCACATTCCAGGCATTCAATGCAGCGGTATTGGGCCAATAAAGTCATGGTGGTTAACTGGGTATGGCAGTGGTGAGAAGCCTGTGATCGGCGTGAGCACTGGTATGGTTTGTATTTTGTCTTTGTTTTTCCTATTTTATATGGTCACCGCCATTCTCCCTTAAAAGACCCATCAGTGCTTCTTGGCCAGGCTTGTGCATGTATTCACTGTATTGCTTTTAAGGATTTTATTGCAGATCAGGCTATCTAATTAAATGGAACCAAGAGACTCAAATTGCTTAGTGGAACTGTAGCTGTGGAATGCTTTCCCCATGGCGGTTCAGTTTTCTTCATCTTTTTTTTACAGCAAAAGCTGTTATGAGATCACAACTCGGGTCACGCGCAGCGCTGTAGTTGCCGCTGCCACCACCACTGGTGTCTGTAATCAATATCACACAAAATAAGAAAAGGAAAACTCAAGAAACATAAAGACATGTGATGACATAGTGAGATTCGAACCTGGGTCCACTGAGTGGCATCCCAGTATTCCACCGCTGAGCCCCGCTGGTGCTTGAGATTCATTCGCAAACTTGCCTTAGACAGGCTTGATGTCGGGAAAGAAATCGAGTTAATGTGAGTAATGAAGAGTTTTAGAACAGTAAAGGAACAACCAGGCGTCACGCAATGCAAATCCCGTAACGAGGGGGTCGTTCAGTGCTCCAGCACATTACAAAAGCTTGTTCTGCATCACCTATTAACTGGGGCGCATACCCACTTCTGGCGTAATTCTTCATTGTTGTCAGCCACTGAGTGCAACACAAAATTCATTACTAGTGTTTTGCGGATACCACACTTCCCCGAAGAATGATGGAAGGATAGCATAGTGAATGCTGATCTACTATGCAGAAATTATGAATATTTAGGGCGTGGTTGGTACCTAGCAAGGGTGCTTGTAGCATTTACCAAAAAATGTTTAGAAAAGTTTCTGAGAGACCGCTTCTTCATGCTTTCACTGTGACTGTGCTGTGCCTTCCGTGCGAGCTTGGAGTTTTTTTTTTTTTTAATCTTAGGTTAGTGATTCAGTAATGCTATTTTGCAACTCTAAGTAAACATAATTGTATGTGAGCACCACCGGAAAAAAAGGCAATTGCAGTCACATTGCAATGTAGGTAAGCAATGTGAATAAGGCCTATATATATATATATATATATATATATATATATATATAAGGAAAAGAAGTGTATACCTAAGGGCTCGTTTTTCCGTGTTTTGATATAATATTAATGAGATCTAACAGACAATAATGCCAAGGAATGTATAGGGGAAGTTATCAGAACAAATGGAATGAAAATAAGAAGAAAGGAAAGTGGGTGAAAAAATAACCAGTCGTGAGCGACTTCCTGCTCAAGTAATAAGGGCTGCAGCGCGAGCACGAATGTGCTAGAAGAAACAGACAAAGTCGAGGTACGGAAGGCAAAAGAGGACAACACGAGCACTATGAATTCAAACCAACTAGCCCAAATCGCCATTCTTCTTCCTGCTCAAGGCTGGTTATTTTTTCACCCACTTTTCTTTTTTCTTATTTTCATTCCATTTGTTCTAATAACTTCCCTTATACATTCCTTGGCATCATTGTCTGTTAGATCTCATTAACACGCACGCGCGCACGCACGCACGCATGCACACACACACACACACACAACACACACACACACACACACACACACACACACACACACACACACACACACACACACACACACACACACACACACACACACACACACACACACACACACACACACACACACTGATGAGTGGTTGATATTGAACGTTTGTAATGAAGCCATGCCTGGCGGGGTACCATGTACTGGCTTTAGGGAATTACATAAGTTCACTTTATCTGCCGAGTTTCGCCAATCACTGTCAATGAATGTATGGAGAAAGGGAGACAGCATTAATAATAATAATAATTGCCGGGGTTTAACATCCCAATTGCACAGTATTGATAAGCGTCAAGTTGTAGTAGTCACAGTATATTTACTACATGCAAGAGGGGTAGCGTTAATGCCCCAAGGCAAGTGTGACACCATCGGTTCTATGCCCGAAGCACTACGTCTAGTAGTGTCCTCAAATCCACAGTGGTACAAACATCTACATAATATCTACCGTCTGTAGCACTGTTTCGGTTCATTGGGTTGGTGAACGAGATGTAGAGCTTTAGTCCAGAAACGTACACAATCTCAGCAGCTGGTAAAATGGACAAAAGCTTGGGGGCTAGTGGCGAGATCCCGTATGTTACTGTGGTAACTCTGCAAAGAACTCGGTAAGGCCCAACGAAGCGCGGCAGAAGTCTTTCACTCAAGCCAACACGATGCGAAGGTTGCCAGAGAAAAAACAGGGAGCCAGGGCTGAAATGCATGTCTCACTCGTGACTGTTGTAACAGTGCTTTTGGTTGACCTGAGATGCCAGGAGTCTATCAGGGGCAACGCGGCATGCTGTTACCACGCAAATGATGCCATCGTGAGTGTAGAATGTGGTTGAGTTTGCCTCTGAAGGAAGTAGTGAGTTGAGAGGCAAAAGCGGGTTGCGGTCATACAACAAAACGGAGAATAACCAGTAATGTTGTTACGTGACGAATTTTAGGTGAACGTTATGAATGGTAAGGTGCAGTCCCAATCCCAGTAGTCCTCAGACACATACATCGATAACATGTTCGTAAGTGCACTGTTCGAGTGCTCAGTAAGTGCATTTATTTGAGGATGATAAGCGGTGCTTAAATTGTGAGACGTTGCACAAGAGCAGAGAATGTTGTCAACAACTTTCGGAGGGAAACATCGACCTCGACCACTCAGAAGCTGATGTGGACCACCATGGTGTAAGATGACTTGATGGAGGAGAAAGTCGGCGACTTCAATTGCACAGCTGGTGGGGAGGGCTCGCGTAATGGCATAACATGTCGCATTATCAGTCGCTAAGACACCCCACTTGTTACCCGCAGACGACGTCGGGAAGGGGCCACGGATTTCTAGGCCAACATGAAAGAATGGTTCGCTGAGGATAGCTATAGGCTGAAGGTACCCAGTGGAAGAGAAAGAAGGCTTTTTGGGGGGGGATTGGCAGAGTTTGCAGGAAGTGATGTAGCGCTGAACATTACGGTATAGACCAGGCCTAAAGAAACGTCCGCCCAGATGATCGTAAGTTTGGTAAACACCCAAATGGCCAGCGGTGGGAGCATCATGTGATTGGGAGAGGATAGGTGGATACAGTTGCTGAGGAACAACGAGAAGCAGTTCAGCACTGTGTGGTGTCATATTGTGCCGATATAAAGTATCGTCATACAGAACAAACATGGAGGGAGCCGTCCCGTGGTGCTGAGGTGAGACGTTGTATTAGGGATCACAAATATGGGTCGCAACGCTGGTCATCGGTGATGTGTTGGAAGCCACTGAGCAGTTATCCGAAGCAGTTTCGCTGCTGTCAGGTGGGTCGACAGGATAACGGGAGAGCCAGTCGGCGTCCTTGTGTAGCGTCCCAAACTTGTACGATACACAAAATGTGTATTCTTGGAGGCGTAAAGCCCAGTGACCGAGGTGTCACGTAGGATCTTTGAGTGAAGAGAGCCAACATAAGGCATGATGGTCTGTTATCATAGTGAAATGTTGTCCAAACAAGTATGGGCGAAACTTCGCAGTAGCCCGAGCTAGGGCGAGGCATTCACGTTCTGTGATCGAGTAAGTGCGCTCTGAGGGTGAAAGAAGGCGGCTAGCATAAGCAAATACACATTTGATTTTCCCCTACCGCCGGGACAAAATAGTGCCCATACCATGGCCACTTGCATCCGTAAGATCTTTCATGCAAGGAGATGGGTCAAAATGACCCATAGCGAGCGGATTCACAAGGTGACTCGTAAGGGTTGAAAATGCTTGAGTTTGCTCAGGTTCTCAACAGAAAAGTTGTCCTTTCTAAGAATATTTGTGACAGAACGAGGAATTTTAGCGAAGTTCTCAATAAAGCGCCTGAAATAGGAACACAGCCCCAGAAAACTGCAGACATCAGAAGGGGCACGAAAAGTTGGAAAATTGCGATCTGCACGCACTTTGTCGGGATCAGGCTCTTTGCCAGTAGCATCCACCAGGTTACAGAGGACTCGTAATTGACAACGGCCGAAATGACATTTCGCAGAATTTAGCTGTAGGCCTGCTTCGTTGGAAGACATCAGGGATGGCTGAGAGCCGGTGGAGGTGGCTGTCAAGCGTCATTGAAAGAACGTCATCTAGACAACATAAGCATGTGGATTATTTAAAATCATGTAGAAGAAAGTCCATCACGCATTCCAACGTAGTCGGGGCATTACACAGTCTGAAAGGCATCACTCTCACTGATTACGGGCTGCTGCAGGCGATGAACCGAGACAGGACTCCGTTAACAACAAATCGCATTTAATAAACCCCCGCTCGGCACACCCTCTATGTACAAATATACGAAAAATGTAGCAAACAAATAGAAATAACTACAATCAAAATCACTACTAACATATAAACAAACCCCCATGCAGCGTAAACTGTCCTAACTAATGCCAGACATCTCTACAGCCTTAGTGCTTCTCATGGTTCTTCTCGTCACCTTACTTGTTGCAACTGACGTGCTGCGCGTCAATGTCCGGATTGGTCGTGTCCTTGTTAGGGTTCTCGGCCTTCTCTACGAACGTCGCCGTTCGTGCCGCTGCCGACGTGGTCGCCCGTAGATGTAGTCGCCTGATGTCGGTGACGTGGCTATGTCTCGATGATTGGGCCTTGCGGCCACAGGCGATACTCTGTGCTCAGCTCTGACGTGGCCATCCTGGAACTGTCTTCAGTGGCTGGCATCAAAGGGGGTTTGCACCAGGAACGTCGGCGCTTGCTGTGCACGGCGGCTGCATCATTAACAGCCTTCCTCGAAGCATGTCAAGGTCTCCTTCTTCTCGGGACGCCCGCATCACAGGTTGCCGAGTTGCAGTCCTGCCGCTCCCGTTGCCAGTGTGTTTGCTGGCAATGCAACCTTCTGCTGCCAAGCCCACGTCGACAATGCCAGCTCATTGCTGCTCACGTGGCGATCGCCGTTGGGGTCACGTGCCTCGGTTCTCGCTGTACGGTGCACGTGCTCATGCAGCACCGAGCGTCGTTTATACTTCGTTGTCTTCTTTTTCTCTCTATGGGCTCTTACTCGTGACCATCACTTTGAATCTGTAGGGACCGCCTGGGGTAATGAACGTCGTCTTCTCGCAGTCTGTGCAATTGACTGCAATTTGCCAGTAGACAGATCCTAAATTGATTGAAAAGAAAATAACTGCCACCATGTAAGCAGTCCAGTGCGGCATCAATACGGGGAAGCAGGCAAACGTCCTTTTTTGTGATTTTGTTCAGATGACAATAATCTATGCAGAACCTCCAAGTATTGTCTTCCTTTTTTACTAAAACGACAGGGGATGCCCACACACAGGAGAAGGACTCGATAATGTTCTTGGAGAGCATTTTCTTGACCTCTGTTTGCATGATGTGACATCCTGCCACCGACACACGATAGGTACACCTATGGATGGGCAGAGCATCACCAGTGTGGATCAGATGAGTAACTATGTGTGTTCGACCTAGCAGGTGATTGTTGAAATCAAATGCACTCAAACCTCATTATAATAAAGTTGCATCTTACACAAAAATAAGTTCAATTTATCCAAAAATTAGTTATAAAGTATATAGGTACATTCGTAACACTGTATCTTTTGCAAGACTATTTTTAGTTTACTTCGTTATAACTGATATTTCATTATATTCGGGTTCGTTATATCCAGGTTTCTGCGTATGTCTTTGTAGGACATCAAAATGCTACGGAGGGTGTCAGTGTAAAAAGGTTGCAGGTCACGAGCTATCATTTTGGTGAACTTGCCCTTAGCTGGCATCGTCAGAGCTGAAGGTTGATCAAACTCGGATGGTTGTTCATAGCTTAGTGCGCATACTCCGTAGTTTTCCAAATGGGATAATACAGCGAGAGATACACCCTCATGAGGAGCTTGTGGACGAGCCAATGTTCGTTAGAGGAAACCATGCGCGGTTGTTCATGAGCGTAATGATGGAGCAAGGAAGAGCTATTTGGCACTCTAGTAGGATGTCGTAAAGTGGGGACACAGTGTAATCACCATCCTGAAGTGGTGCGGAAGGTGACACCAGCACATAGGTCGCAGCCTCAGGTCGCAGCCAAACAGTCAGTGGAGCGAAGTCGGGGCTAGATACCAGCGGTGGCGTCGGCACAGCACTGGGGTAGCTCAAGTCTCAGAATACCAGTCAAGCATTTGATAGGCGCAGAATGAACCGTGAAAAGGTTCGTTCTTAGAATAATCGTGTGAGGGCACTTCCTGAGTACAGTGAACAGAATTAACATTGAGCGGTTGGTGATGGTGGTACGGGCGGTACACATTCTCATTATATAGCGGTTGTGCTACCATTGGCTGCGCATAGGTTAAGTGATGGGCACATGATAAAAAAATTCAATTAGGTTTCATTTAGGAGCAAAGATCAACAGAAGTTTTACTGTCAGTAATCGACGCAGCCTCACCTCCAGGATCTGCATTGGTTAGTTTCCCGAGGAATGGCCTGGGTAGGATGGGAACGTGGGTCGCCAAGATGTAGGCGAAAGGGACTGACGGCATTGCATAGAAAGCAAACGGCTAGCGGTGAATCGAGAGGTGGAAGGGTCAGCATTGGACGGTTCGACTTGAGGCGACAGAGGACGAGATGCGCGTTTGTAGCGACTGTTAGCATATGGTCAAAGCTATGAATACCAGCCATTATGGCAGTGGCGGGAGATATGACCTATCCGGGAGCACAAGAAGCAGATTGGTCTGTCATCCGGTGTTCGCCCCTCAGGGGTTCTGGTGCCGTGTAGCGGAGTACTGTCTAGGTGCAGCGGAGGAAGTGATCAAACGAGATAAAGGTGGTACGTGGGCTAACCCCTGATGGGATGTTCATATTCGCGATTTCTTGGTGAACGACGGCTGGAATGAGCGAAATCGTCAGGTCTTCATGCATATGGGAACCACGAGAGCTCGGAGCCATAGCCTCAAGTTCGCGGTGTATGGCTTGTGTCAAACTTGGTGATGCTGGTTGATGCAACGGCGCAGGTTCATTGCAGGATGAGGTCGGAGCTATATTGGGAAGCCGGTCTAAGCGTTGCACAATGTGCTTGCCTTTTGATTGCTCCAAGTGGTAGCACTATTTAATTAGAAAATCAGCTGTTGTGCATCGTCGGCGATGCCCTTCATAATTTGTCCGACTTTATCTGCCTCCGGCATTTGTCATTCATTTTTCGGCAGAGTGCCAGGACGTCCTGAATGTGTTAAATGTACGACTCAGTGGACATTTGGGCATGGGACGTGAGCTGCTTCTGGGCGTCTTCTCGGCGCCCGATTGGTCTCCTGAAAATATCACGTAGCCTCTTTTTGCAAACGCTCTAACTTGTGAGTGTGGCTTGCGCTTCTCAAACCATGCCTTTGCAGTGTCCCCCAGGTTGAAAATTACGTTCGCCACCATTAGTGTTGGATCCCACCTGTAACTGTTAGTGATGCACTGTCATTAGCCACTCATCGATGTCGACCTTCATAGTGCTGGTGAAGATTCCTGGGTCACGTAGCGGAGTCATGACGTATTGCACTGGTGTCCGAATAGCTGGGACACTGTCGCTAGCCATAGCAGTGGAACCGATGTGACGTCTACTGCGGAGATCCATGTTCAACTTCTGTTGAGACCACCCAGCACCTCCATCAAAATGACACGCGTAGAGTCGCAGCAGTCACAGTACATTTACGAGATGCGAGAGGGGTAGTGCTGACGCCCTAAGGCAAGAGCGACACCATCAGTTCTATGCCCAAGACACTTCAACATCTACATCTAGTAGCATGCTCTAGTTCACAATGGCACAAACACCTACGTAACAATATGATTATGAGAGACACCTTAGTGAGGGCTCTGGAAATTTCGACTGCCTGAGGTTCTTTATTGTGAACCTGAATATAAGCACACGAGCCTCAAGCATTTTCGCCTCCATCGAAAATGTGGCTGCCATGGCCGGTATTTAATCCCTACGACCTAAGGGTCAGCGGCCGCCGAGTGCCTTAGCCACTAGACCATTGTGAAGGGTGGAAGACAACATTAAAGACAGAGAGGCAAGCATGCATTCACTTTCATTGTTCATTACACATAGCTGCTGTCAGTGATGTATTAGCCTGTGGCCAACCGACTTTTTTCTTCTAATTTTTTGGCTATGCAACATTTTTGAACAATAAGATTTTTGTTCTCTGCAATAAAATAGTTTCCTCTTTAGAAAAGGTTTCTTGGCCTTCTTAAACAACTGGAAATTGCGATAACTGGGGCTCACTTCCTGAATTATGAGGTTTCAATAAGAGATGGCACACTGTATCTATCTGTTTAAAATTGCACATTTCATTCATTTCAATTTTACATAAAAAATCCTTTGTACAGAAAGATACTGTAAAGCCTGTATAGTACTACAGCTTATTAAGAGGCTATTTTAAGCATTCAGCGCTTTTCATCTTCACAGATTTTGCTGACTACTACATCTCCAATGAGCACGAGGTCTACGCTGGTTTTGTAAAGCCACTGCGACGTAAGATGTATCTTACCAAGTTGGTTGTGGATGCCGTCAGTGGTGACCGTGACTGTAGCTACGAAAGCCTTGTAAAAATTATACAGGTGAGTTCTTGACTTATCGTGGGCTTGATTGTAGAAATAACTCCTAAAGAGAATGAAGGCATCGTTGCAGTGTAAAATGGCTTCTAGTGCGAGTATATCAAATTGTGCTTGCATTTCTTTTATATACATCTGATCGCAATTTTTCGCATTGTCACTTTCCAGGTATGTGGAGAATATCGGATACCGCGAATAGATTCTAGTTTCAGATGTGTTTTTATTTAGATGAGGTTACGCTGCACTTTTCTCTGACCTGACTTTAGTACATCCCAATGACACAGCACCATTTTGTTGAGTTAGCTTGGTGACTGCACTTTTGCAGTGACAGTGATGGTGTGTGATTTGATTGCAGGATGCCGTGGTGCCAGAACTGGGGGATGACGAATCATTCTCTGAAGAGGAGCTGCTGAAACATGGGGAATTTGTCGCAAAGCATGCTTGCAGCTACGATGAGGCTCGCGACGAAGACTATGAGCCCACTGCACTCAAGGCTCCTTGCCTTCAGCGGCTTGTCGACCTGTGCCACATCAAGAGACTCAAGTAAGGGCCTTTGCAGTACACGTGTAGTCCAACTATTGCAGCTAGCTATAGCCCATAAACTTGTGCTGCAGCTAAGTGGCTGCGGGTCCTGTGCTCTTGGATGCACTTTAATAGCTGAAGTCAATACAGGCGCTGACATATTTCACCTTTTATGAAAGTTTGTCATTGAGTCTCTCTTTGCCCTAATACGTGGTATGTGGAAATTTGTAGCTTTTTAAACGTGAAATGCTTTTATTTAGTCTTCCAGTATTGGCAACTTTCAAGTGATCATTAGGCAAGAGCCATTGTCGAAGCGCTCAATCGAGAACATCTGGGCATAATTGAGAAAATAAAACAAAAACATCTGGGCAACTAGTCAAAAAAGTTTTACAACGTTGTCTGTGCCACGGCCTTCGATAGATGGCGCCACACTTTTTCTGGTGCACCAGCATCTAGCCTGCATCACATCATGGCCGCATGTGCCAGACAAAGCCCAGGATTCATCCCTCCTCTCTTGGTGACAGGAAACAATGGCATCCATAAGAATGAGGGCACAATGTGGGTAGGTGGGGTGGGTTTTGCCCTTGCAAACATGCAATACAGGTATGCAGCTATTTTAAGATTGTGGCTAAAATTATCTCCAGGTTATTTGATTTGCCTATAGCCATTTTCTGTTTACATATACCTCTCGATTGTTGTAGAACCAGAAATTTGCTTTTTTCACCCTGTTTTTGCTAAAGGGCCAGTAAACAGGCCCCAACTCTTTTTTTTTTTTTGCGCACCCAAACAAGCTCACCAATTCGTGGATTAGACCGCGGCGATAACATTTTCCAAATGTTACTGTGCCATGCACCGTGCAGACCCTCTATTTCAAAAAACAGTTCTTGCACTGACCAGTCCCCCTCGTTCGCACAGTGACACAAGACACATGGGCAATTTGACGAACCACTGAGCTCGTTGATTGGTCCTTTGCCCTACGAAATGACGTCTTGGCCTTGTGGTGATGCAGTTTCGGCCACGTAGTCTGCCTTTTCATTTTCCAGTGCTTTCCCCTGTTGTTTTGTAAAGCCCGAGACAACTGGGAAAATGGTATTGCCAGAACTAAATCTCGGATAAAAAGGCGTCTCACCACTTGACCACTAGGGGAAGGGTGCTCTTTTTACCACAATTCCTTTCTGCATCACTATGACGTGTGCTCATGTAGAAGCCTTGCTTGGTCACTGGCTGCGCGCCTATGATGCATCGTGTTACGTTGCTGAAGTGGGTGGAGTTGCGACGACAAGCTACGCCTTCCTCTCTCTCTGGCGGAGGTGGGTGTCAAGGCGACGTGAAAATCTGAAACCATCTGAAATAGATCTCTTAACCCTCTAACTGCCTGATAATAGCACGTATTCGCAAAGTTCTTGCGACAGCATGTTCACATAGCAAAAGTGCAGCGGCTGCATTTCCGATGGGGGCGGAAATGTTGTAGGCCCCTGTGCTCAGATTTGGGTGCACGTTAAAGAACCCCAGGTGGTCGAAATTTCCAGAGCCCTTCACTACGGCGTCTCTCATAATCATATGGTGTTTTTGGAACGTTGAACCCCACATATCAGTCATATAGCAAAAGTGTGCATATTTCTCTTCATTACAATTTTTGTACCTCAGGGTTGTTTACTGGCCTTTAAACACTTGACTGTGTTTGTTGATTGCTGTGCCATGTTTTCTACCTGCTGACCACAAGTTTGCCTTTTTTTAACATGATAGCATTAATGAGCTCGTTTCTCAGAAACTTCAGCCTCGGTATGGGTTTCAGTAGTTGTGAGCGAAAACCTATCTTGTGCGTGACCAAAAATCGAGAATAATAGTAATAAAATTAATGTTTCCGGTTCCGAGTGAAGATGAAACTCGGGCTGTTCGCGTGCCGAGCAGGTGTTCTACAGCACAGATAGGTGTCTGCTTGGAAATACAGTGAAAATAACTTCCTCCGCTCGGAAATGCAGTGAAGTAACTTTTGTGGTTTACAGACGCACGCGTCCTGTACACAGGCTTCACAATAAAATAAGTCATACCGCAGCAGTTTTGCGTGCCACAGTCTAGCCCGCTTATAATGAACCCGAGCATGACGTGGCATTCATTCCCTGTATCCCGAAGTTCATAGTTAATGAAACACAGATTTTAATAAAAATTGCGAGTGAAAAAACACTTTTGTTGCCCCAAAAAGTCCGTGATGCACGTGTTTCGAAGAGCAGAAGTGATAAGGGCGGTCTCGAGTTCATTTAAAATGGCAGGGTGCTCGTTCGCCGAGGCCTGTGGCATAAGCTGCATGAGGCACTGACTCCATAGTTTCATCGTTCTTGCAATCCGATTCCTCCAATTCGCTCTCACAACGTACTTCATTCACAGTGCCCCAATCCATGCTAGGTTTCGCAGTGTCGCCATCATCGGCCATAAAAAACCATCGCAACAGATATTCCACCCGCTCTCCCAGGTCGGAGTCGACGACACGCTGCCACAAATCGCTGCTGCAGTTCGGAAGCTTCAGGCTCGGCATCGGGCCCGACGTCGACAATGTCGGTCGCGTGAAAACAGTTTCACGCGCATGTAGTCGTCACTGCCGCCCACGAAATATTCACCATCTCCACAGTTGAATACCAAGGCGCCCAAAGCGTCAAGTTGGCTGCCAGGTGGTCAACAGCTATGAGCAAGCGCTCTGCAACGCGGCACCTAACGCATGGATTACGCTCAAGCCAGGCGGTCACACTTTCAGCGTTTTGTTGAGCGGTAGGAAAAAGGGTGCTAGCCCTCCCGTCGGCCATCATGACCACACACGCACACCAAGAGCGAGCAAGACGCGCACACGCGGCACACATGCTAGAACGCATGGAACAGTTCTGAGCCCGTTTCTAGTCAGAAAACGAAACTAATTCTAGCCAGCATGGCGGGCGTCGCGGAGCGGTGATGACGGGCAAAGGGGTTGTGATCAAGAGAGGTGAGCAGACTTGCGAGAGAAGGGCAAGGAGTTGCGATAGAGAGGGCAGGATGCGGCGGGAGGGCGACCTTGAAAACCAAAACACATGGGAAGGAGGCAGGTTGGGTAGCTTTCTTGAAAAGTCCGCGAAAATCGTACGTAGAAAAACTTGGAAAGAGTGCCTGCACACGCAGAAGTCAAAGCATGGCCGCCTGGGTCTGTGCGCGCGGCGGTGTTCGAAGAATCGGCGGCCGTGGTCAAAAAATCGTGTGTTGCGCTGGCGGGTTCGTGTGGCCTCACAAACTTCGATATTTCGCAATTTGTTCTGCACAAATTAACAGCCGTTTCCGCATTTCTACATGCGCGCGGAAGGCATGTTGAGCGAAGTGCGAAGTGAGCGAGATCAAGTCTTAAACACGAAACGAATCACAAATTATCAGAGCCAGTGGGAAAGCGTACGCCATTGCACTAGACGCAGACTATAGGATACAGTCGGTGGCCGACGATGTTGGCAAATGGTTTGGTCACTCCAGGCCGGCAACGCCAACGACAGTACCAGCGATCAAAAACAGGGTAGATGGCCGACGGGTCTTCGAAAGATCGGTTGCAGTGTGAAAACACTGGCCTTGTCGGGCGATGCGGGGGGCTCAGAATAGCGGGAGGACAAAGGAAGGAGCGGTGCGTAACAAAAAGCAGTCGGGGCATGGAGGAAGGAAACAACTTTCCTTCCTCCATGGGTTGGGGAGAGCCGCAACTAGAGGGTCGTGGAGGCAGGGTAGGCGTTTAACAATAGAATGTTTGAGCACCTCACCAATGCCTGATCGGTGGTCGAAATTGGTTTCCCGAGAAGTCGGCAGACCGTTGACTCTGTTCGCTGTAATTGATCAGCAGCGCTCAGAGACGTTCATTGTAAGTGCGATTTTGTGTAATTGAACCATTGTATATTTTCACGGTCACGCGGATATTGTTCGTTTTAAGCAAAAGTTCGTTTTAAGTGGGGCCGTTATGTGTGGGCTCGACTGTACAAGCACGCATTGCCATCGGGCTTCAGAACATGTGATTATCATAGCAACTTCGCGGTTCAAAGCTGGCCACCCATTATAAAGGTTCAAACGTTACTGTGCATATTCCCTTAAGACCACGTAATTTCGAAAACATTTTGTGTGCTCGTGGTTTAAGGCATGCTACCCATTACACAAAATGCAGCTGTATGCAAAAGCTTCACTGACACAAGCCACTTTCAAATTTATTGGTGACATTGTAGTAATGCACAATTTAAACTTCTCGAGTAACATTATACAATACTATAAAGTATGCACTAAGTGGTTAAAGTACGCACTAGGGACAGGATATTGCTATTGCATTCACCCCAATTTTTCAGCTATCAAAGTACTGATATCAAATGCCGCTTGCAATGAGCTGCATCTCCTTGACGAAAAGACGAAGCACTTAAACGCAGTTCCGTGGTGGCGGTGTGACAGGGGTATTAAAGAGCTTACTTATTGGGGTATCTCCTTGACGAAAAGACGAAGCACTTAAACGCAGTTCCGTGGTGGTGGTGTGACAGGGTTATTAAAGAGCTTACTTATTAGGGTGAGCAGCTTCAATAGCAAATTTAGAAATGTGGAAGAACCAACTGATGTCATTGTCCATGTATATGTAAGAGTAAAAGCACTACAGCAAACTCTGATGCGCAACAACTTTTTTTTTTTTCTGCTTCACTCGGCCTTGCTGTTATTTCCCATACCCATAAAGGAAACAAGTGGGTGATGAATGCTGAAGTATGATCATTTTATAGAGCATCCCCACTGTGGTGACAAGGCACACCTAAACTTCTCTGACCTATTTGGCTTAGATTACTAGTGGTGATGCATGATGGCATCCGTGACAATACATACACGGTTAGGTTAGGTTTATGGTTAGGTTTGGTTACCTTTACCACAATGCCACTCACTATGGGAACCAGGGTATGCTAAGATATGCTCCTAGATAGAAAAATGTGTAAAAGTGAGACACATGTGAAGTTTTCCATGTTATGCCTTCATTTCAGCGTCAGTAAAGACAGCCCGCTAAAGTACTTCTCTCAGCCCACTGACACCTTGGCCACTTGCACACCACTGGTACGAGATGTGTTCCACGAGGCATTCGCATCTCAAATGTCTGAAGTGAACGAAAGCAGCGTTGACAAGACCAGAGGGCTAGGTCAGCGCATGTGCACTTCATGTAGGGGCTGGATGCACAAGGTTTGTATTGTGCCATTTGATATCTTACTCGGGTAATGTTTACGAATGTAGGATTAATTTAAAGTTTGGTAAAGGTTTGGCAAATATTTGGTAAAGATTTACAAAAGGTGAATTTTGTGGAAGAATACACACTCGAAACGCATTGTAATGAAGTTGAAAGGGGAGCTGAAATTATAGTGACATAACCGTTACTTTGTTACATGTTACATTCATTAATGCCCTTTGGTGCAATATATATATATATATATATATATATATATATATATATAATACTATGAAGCCACAAAAAGTTGCTACAAATGTTTGTAAGAAAGGGTAAATTATACAAGTGTGAGAAGCCTTGGCACTGTGCTGTGAAGGCACTCACAATAGTGTATGTGCTTCACTGTTACTAAAGGCTTAATTGTTGCTGTCATAATATTTGTAATGTCATATGCATGTTCTTTTATGCATGTCACAGGGCATGAGAGGATTGACAGAGCTGTGATGAGCCATCATCCCTCATTGCATGGATGTGTACTTGAGCTCTGGCTTTAACACAAGCGATTGGGTGAATGAGTAGGCAGCACACTGTGGTGTTCCTGTAAAGTACAGCTTCTACTGCATTTATTAACACAAGTTCTCAAAGCACATGAACTCGGGAACAACCAAGTCACAGTGATATGAAAACACTGCGTTGCTCGACAATTTGTACTCTTCTATGTTTCTGGCTGCTAGTAGACGGCACCTAAACATTATATAGCCATTATTAAATTGACCCTGAAACGGTTTCGGCTAGCCTTGTGCCAACATTCGAATGCTTTGAATATTTGAATGAATAGTAGAGTATTTAAATTCACTTCGATTCAAATTTAAAATATTAAAAATTTCAAAGTATTTTCAATGAACAAATAGGTGTAAAGTAGGTGTCTGCATGTAGCCACCTGTAAAAGTGGTTTTACTGCAGTGTAGGAATGCTAAGCCGTGAAAGCACCAATTTGTTGCCAATGATTGCGGACGGGCGACAACATAAAGGAAGAACATAGAAAAAAGGAGGTAGAGAGTGAGCACGAGCTGTAGAATACAATGATGGACATCTTGGTCTAGGGATCTGGTCCTTTTTACGCCACATTCTTTCTGTTGCCGAAACCCGGCCCAGCACAGTGACGGGTCCGAGAGAATTGGTCTCGCCTGCTATTACAGCAATTCATGCGCGATGGGCCTGTTTGCGAAATGCCTTGGCAGCATGCTGGTGGTTGTGCTTGTGTGTGAACAGGCTGCATGCTTGTACGTGACTACAGGGCATGTTGAATGACACGATAGCGGAATCGTAATATGTCAATGCACCAGTGAAGAGCGGTAGTGCGTACATTTGTACTCTGCGACAGGACTTTGAACAGGAAATCAAACGACCCTAAAATGTGCATTGTTTCAGGGAGTTTCTTTTTTTAAGAAGACAGCGACTTGGTGCGGCAGTCCTGAAGGTACAGGAACGACTCGGATCTACCCTGCTGTCATGATTGGGGAAGAAAAGGTAATACCACTAGCTCCACAGTCTGTGGCATCTCGAGTGCCTTAGGGGCAAGGGACATTGTAAATTGTTTATTAAACCTTCTAAGCTGGCTAGCTGATTCACAATGATAGTAGCATGCAGATGGAACAGATTTGCAGAAATGGAGCGCAACTCACCATGTAAGTGTATACCAAGCAAGTAATATTTGTCCCTGCCAGACATCCATCTCTTAGTTGTTTACTGGTTAAGCCACATTCAGAAGTTCATTCAAGGAATGGGTAGGCATCTGCAAGGTTTCTCTCTTGGAGTGAATCGTCTAGCGCATGGATTGACCGGTCACTGCGTTGTCCCAAAGACAAAGTGGGTCAAGCAATTTATCTTGCACCCGAGTATCTATGCTTTTCTGCTGCGCCCATGCAGGAACATCTGTCACTTTCGTGCTGCTCCATAACTACTTCCAGTGCAGCATCTATTGTCTAGAAAAGCCGGATTCCGGAAGACATGAAGCCAATTCTTCCCTGTTGGCGAAACACAAGAGGAACATGAAATATCAGCATTCCCACGACAATATTGCTGATTTAATACAGTCTTTGCTATTGCTTATTCGAGATCAGCGAAATATTTGCAACAGAACACCATAAATTTGTATTTTCCGTGGGACCACAGTAAATGTATACATGAGTGAAGTACCTACAGAAAAAAAATGAAGGCATTTCAGCATTATTGAGAAAGTAGCTGAACATGAAAGCTTCATTCACTCTTGGGAAAAATGACAGGAGAGTGGAAAGGCCAGTGCACGGAAATTATTTTTGCGCTTGTTTAAGGCGTTCATGTTTGTCCTGCTGCCACCATCTCTGGGTTCATCACTTCGGCCGACTGTTCGGTGACCAGAGGCAGTGAACAGTACTGCCACTTTGCTCCTTTTCTACGCTTTTTATTTAATACAGAGCTTTAGCAGTCGTTGTATAATACAGAAGAAATAACTTTCATTTTTTCAAATTGTTATTTTCTGAAGATGCAGAAGTAGTAAGCAGACATTTCCTGTCACAGGAGCTGTAGATATGTGTGGCTCAGCAAAAGTGAGAGATATTGGGACGTGCCAATGCATTGCTACTGTGCCTTCTGCAAATTCCTGTCTCCTCGGCAATCTTCATCCAAATCTTGCTCTTGAGGAACGCACTCGCATAGAGGCGTCAGTTTTGTTGTGCATCGTGGGGTAATTTGTGATCACGTTGATCAGAATCAGTGCCGACTGCACGAAGACAAGGCATTGAACAGCGGCAGGGCACGTTTCGGTTGTTACGTAGTAAAGGTGTGCGGTAAGCTTTGCAATGGCATTAACCACGCTATTACGCACTCTTGTGAGCACATAGTTGAATACGCTTATCATGGTAAGGTTGTTAAGTCATACGGTTGTGTTCATTGGCGTCTATCATCAGGCTTTTGTCTTTTTCCAATGCTGAATCATCTAGTCTTCCTTTAACTATTCCCCAAAAAAGGGAGACGTCTTGCGGCACATTGTAACATTAACTGCTTCATGAGTTGAGGGATGCAGTTAATCATTATGGGACCAAGAAGTGATCACTATATGCACCAACCAGTAGACATAAGACAATTCACTGGGCTTTAAAGGAGCCCTGAAACACCTTCTTGAGTAACCATGGAATTCATTCACTAGAAAAGCGTATTACCTCACAAATGGAACGCCGCAAAAATTTTAAGAATCCGTCCAGTACGAGCGGAGTTAAAAAGATTTGTCACATGCTGCAATCACATTCTTTCTTTTCTCGTCCTGACGAAAGCACTGGAAGCTGAGCAGGGAGGGATGGGAGGGGCAAACGAAAAATGTAACTCGTGACCTTAAGCATTTAAAAAATTTCTTTTTTCTTCCAATACGCGACTTTTTCAGTGCGATCGCACGCGCACGCGTGGACAAGTGATGGCTTCTTGCGGCGACCTCTGTGATGCTTCTTTCCCTTGAAACAGTTGGCTGTCATCATGAGCTCCATGGTGATTCCAAGCTTTTAGTTACTGTTGCATGCTGAGTAGGAGGAGCTCAAATTAAATTAAATCTTAGCTATGCTTTAAGACTAAATGTGCATTGCAAAAATGCGCTGTTTTGACACAGAGTTATTGCAGTGAACTTGAAACAGTAAATTAAAAACTGAATCAACAATAATCAATATTATTGGCAACCACATTATCTGCATTGTGATGGTTGCTGTTATAAAATTATATTTAGATTATTACTTTTTTGTAATATCTAGCATTATTAGTTGAGTTAAACCCCCTTTATAAGAGGCATGCCTCGGGAAGCAATTCTGGTCTTTTAGGTGAAATGTCTCTTGTAAGCAAGGTACCTCATTTGCATTTTCCTGCTAACCCATACTTAACTGTAGGCACACTGGTGTCCCTTATACCCATTTGTCTCTTACATCAGTGTCACTTATAAAGGGGTTGAACAGTACCATGTCTTTTAACAATGTTTGACAACTAGAACATAAGTTGTTTACCACACCATGTGTCTTGTTGCTAGACTTTTTCCCAGGACTGCTTCACAACTTCCCCTGCTTTATTTTTGCATCATTTATACTTGGTTAAATGGTGTGTTTCTAAGGCATATTCTTTGTTTTGTGCTTTGAAATTTGTAGTTCTGTGCTGTTATTCTGGTATCATAGTCATGGACATGCAACAAATAAAAATGGGAAAACGCTCGAGATTCGTCTTCAAAAGTGGCCTCGTGTGCATTGCCTTCTGAACTGGTAGCCTGCTTCGATAATCGGGGGCATATCCTGAATATTCTTCAAGAGGAGTCCACGAGTTTGTGTGCCACTCCCTAGCTATGCCGCTGTCAGTTCTCAGTGCATGCCTCGGCCATGCCATTTGGAAACAAACGACTGTGTGTGTAACATTGGCCATTTCAAAGTATCATTGAATGCCTATTAAAAGCGCAGTTGTCAGGTGCCCACAGTCGCATAATTATTTCTTTTGTCTATCAGCGAAGGGCCCACTACGCGTCCATAGGGCAACATGCAAACCTACACAGTTGTTCATTTTGCTGATGCTTTTTCTTCTGATGGCGATTAAGTATTTCTGAGCGCCTTTTAGTCGGTGGGCTTTTAAAACATCCACTTATTGCCTCAATTCAAATTTTTAATGCCTCGTGTGATTCTACGCTTTTGCCCCGTAATATATGATGTGCTAAGGAGACTCCTTCCACCACATGACATTCGTATAGAGTTTTTCTTTTTTTTTTCCGAAGCCGTTTCGACAAATATTATGGCCCTGTAATAGAATATCTGCTTTGCTACGCAGAGAGTCTGCATGCGATCATCACTGGGACGTAAAAATTTCAATTATTTATTTCATTTGTATGCTCCTCGATTTTTATGTCACGAACAAGATGATGATTTTTCACTCATGATCGACGACGCCGGAATTTCTGTGAAATGAGCTCTTCAATGCTAGTGTGTTAAAAGATCAAATGCAGTCTGATCAAGTTGTTACAAATGCCATGTAAGTGATTCATTGATTGAGTGAAAAGATTCGCAGTTTTGGCACAAGGCCGAAGCAATGAATGCAATAGCAACACATCGGGCTGTTATATGAAGTAAAGCTAGGAGATTTAAGAACCACGCGAAATGTAGTGAAAATGGTGGATTGTGCTTGAGTCAGAGTAATGCATAGTTGACTATGTGGTGTCTGCTAAGAATTGCAATCCAAGTTTGGTATCGAAAAGCGTGACAAGCCACTGGTTTTCACCTCGAAGTACATTAACAATTTGGAATTGCAACATTACTGCCGTAATCAATTGACAGTTACTTTGTTTTACTTTCCTCTTTCCTACCTCCTTCGTTAACAGATTACTCCTGGCAGCTTTGTCACTGCGGCTCGTCATGACCTTTGCTGTCCCAGGGTTGGGTGCGTCATGCGTCTTTTTGAAAACAAGGCTAGAAAGATGATGGCACACATACAGTGGTTCATGTGAGTTTATTTGGAAGTCTGCATGCAAAAAAATTTACACTTGAGTTTATGATGTAATTTCAGTGTCCTAAGATCTCAGAAAGCAATGTTTTTCTAAAGCTAGCGTCCTTTAGATTGAATGGTCAATAAGTTGGCCAAACGGTGCCTTGCAAGGTGCCTACAGTTTTTCTTGGGACTGACTACCTGTGACTTGCAGCTGGTTATGCGAATTGGCAATCACTTTTTGAATGAAGAAACTGCGTGAAAAAAGGAGAAAGAGCAAAGGAACGACAGACAATGGCGCTGTTGTCTGTCGTCCCTTTGCTTTTCGTCGTTTATTTTATTCTGCTTATTTGTTTAATATCAAAGCACGTCAACTCGTCTAATTAAGCGTTCTGATAAGAAGTCAATGTTTAAAACAAACATCAATAGATCAACATTTATGTAACTAAGGGTTAATCTTTATTTTTTTTAAATTTAGGACCACAGGGATGTGTAATAATGTGTTTTAAATGTCATCACGATTAAACTTTTGTTTGCCCACAATTTCAACACATTGAAGTTTGACTGCTGCTAGAGAGGAAGGATCTAGGTTGTACCTAACTTGAAGTTTCTGCTGGCACCAGCTACCATATAATTTATTTATGGTTTTTGTGAACACATTTTTAGTATAGTACACGACATGACAAAGAGCAACAAAGCTAAGCACTTTTTTTACAGCAACAAGCGAGGGCAACAGTGTATCTGAATAGAAAATTTTATCATACGCTATTCACCATAGTTTCATATTCCATGCTGTGTGTGCCTTGTGTTGGCATTTGATTTCATGTTTTTGTCATTGCCATGTTGCACATAGCAGCTGTACCCATACGATAAGATTGTGAGGTGAAGAAATTTGACGGAACTGGTAAAAGGGATGCTGAAGCCCTCTGAAAGCAATCTAGTGCAAGAAAACCTGCAATGAACAAGGAAATTGCAGAAACTGAAGAATTTTTTTTTAGTTGACAGTTGATTTTTAAAATTTTGCCTGCTTTCTCTTGTGTGTAACAGAAGATGGGCTTTTTGGCTGCAAAAAATAGTTTTGTCTTGGAGACCTTTTCAGTGGAAAGGAGGGTCTCCTCCTTTCTGGGCTGTTGCACGGGAGCACAAAAGCTGATGTCGCAGCCTCTGCCGTGCATTTTTGATTTTTATTTTCGGAGGGGTCATTCATAGCAAAGGACCCTCACCAGGTTTCACAAATTTGAGCTGACGAGCGCAATGCATACATGGGGCGTTCACGATCACATCTGCCAAAATTTGCAACACGACACGCCTTGGAAATAGGTCAAATTTCAAGATGAATGCTGCTTGCCCTTTCCTTCCTGGGGGTGTGCCAAGAGAATGGGGGGATGGTGTAGATCACAGTATCGCCCTATGTAGACGGTAGTGCTGTGACGTTGATCCTCTGCATGGTTGACTGCGCTCTGACGTTGCCAACAGTAGCACATGACACGGCAAAAATGATTTCACGCAACAAAAATTGTCGTAGTTTGTAATTTCTGTAATTTGTTGCCTGAATAGTTGGATAAAACTTGATATGAATAATGAGACTAACAAAGGAAATGTGTATGTCTTTCACATTTTCTTTTCCCTGAATTGCAATGAGATGTGGGGCTAATGTCTCTGCGTTTCGCATGCATTCGTGTCCCCATGGTTAGTGCATCAAGCAGACGCCACCCCTGGAAACAAAATTAATGGTCCTGGGTGTTTGAGTACTCATCATGCTCATATGTTCTGTCGTGCCTAAGTCAGCATTTCCAAACATGCACCAAGACATCCATCCCACAGAAACAGGCAGGAGGCCACAAAATAACGCTGGTCAACAAAACAGTGCCATTCATGTGCTTGGGGGTTGGGCTAGTCCGGGGAAGTCCTGCGCACGGGACCTCTTGCTCAGATGTAAAGAGGGTAGGTAAAAGATTCTGCTCACCAAGGCTACGCAGGGCCAGTGGTAAAATTTCGAGCTCGCCTTGTCACATTACGGTTTCGCGCCAGTTCAAAATACTGGGTTTCTCTGCCCTTAACAAACCGATTGAAAAAAATTCTCGTGGAATGATGCTCTTCGTCAAACACATGACTACTGGTGTCTAATTAGAATTTGTTATGGGGCCTGGTGATGGGCCCTTTGACAGCAGCCCAAAGAGGACTATGGTGGCACCTAGGCAGCCGTCAGTAAAAAGGTTTATACAATCTCGGGAAAGCATTGTTGCAAGTCATTTAAAATTCTTTGTTGGGGACTTTATAGTCCCTAATGTCGTTGAATATTTTTCATCGTTGTTGCTATGAACCTTGGGATGGCCAATATGCATCATCGGCATATGTAAGTAACGGTAGTGCCATTTTCGTTAAAAACTGAGGAACAGATCAGGGCTTTTTAAATGTCACCTAAGCTTTACATAAGTTTAAGTTTAGTGCAGTGTGTTTTAGAAAAATTCTTTTTACCTCTTTCTTGTTCAATGTACTGTGCCTGCTTTTTAAAGCTGAGGTAGCAAAATATAAATGTGAACGTTTGCATTTGCCAATGAGTCATCATTGTCACTGCTGTTATTTTTCACACAGGTGCTCTTGTGAAACAATTCTTGGTCAGATTGGTGATCCATCGGAAATCTACTTTGTGTGCGATTGTGAAGACATCCTTGTGACCAAGATTATTTCATTGTGCCATGTAAGTGATTCATTGATTGAGTGAAAAGATTCGCAGTTTTGGCACAAGGCCGAAGCAATGAATGCGATAGCAACACATCGGGCTGTTATATGAAGTAAAGCTAGGAGATTTAAGAACCACGCGAAATGTAGTGAAAATGGTGGATTGTGCTTGAGTCAGAGTAATGCATAGTTGACTATGTGGTGTCTGCTAAGAATTGCAATCCAAGTTTGGCATCGAAAAGCGTGACAAGCCACTGGTTTTCACCTCGAAGTACATTAACGTTGAAATCTCCAGTGACTATCACCGGCACATCCTGTAGACACACTGCACGGAAGTTCTGCAGCAAGAAGTTCATGGCGCCAGTCTGCAAGTCTGCAAGTTAGATGTACACTGTTGCCACGTCAAAGCCGTGCAATGTTTTAATGGCACAAGCGCCACCACATCTCCTCTGGGGCAGCGAGTTAAGTTTGTCCGTCTGAAGTGATAATGGCGGTGCGCATTGCGATGGGAACCGATTTCACAGGCACCACAGGTCCAGCAAGTTCCCGAATAGTCCTGGACTTTATGCTAGCAATTTTTGTTGTTGCTTTAGAATGAAAGTGTAGCCAAAGACATTTTGGAATGCCCCTTTCATCCAACTGTATGCGATTCAGTGAATTCACCCCTCCATTGATCTAACCAATGGACACATTGATGTTTAGGGAAAGCATGTATGGCTTTTCCAAGAAAAGTACATGCTTTGTTCAAGAATGCTTCTTTTAAGTTCATTGACAGTAAGCTAGTGGGAAATAGCTCACTATCAATGTGATAAACAGTATGAGCGGCGTGGCCTAGTTGGTTAATGCCGTGCATTAGGGAGTAGAAGGTTCTGAATCGAATCTCTGGTGGGTGCCTTGGAATTTTTTATTGTGATTTGTTTATGTGCCTTTTATAGAATATGCATACTTATACATACCCGGAACATGGCGGCGGATGGAAAAATCAGCCGAGAGTGTCAATATAATTGCTATTGTAATAATGTTAATGACATAAGCGTGCTGTAATGTAGAAATACAGGTGTAAAGGAATTGCTTCAGATATTAACATGTGTGTCATGTGCTAAGGTTTTCCTGTATAAATACAGAAACACACCCCATCGGAAAGACTCAAATTGATTCAATTTGCTGCAATTGAATTTTAGCAGAAAATGCAAAATCTTTTGCACAACATTTGTCTATGGTATACCCTCTAAACGGGCTTCCTTTTTTACAAACAATGCCACATATTATTAAAGTAATCTAAAAAACAAACTTGTTGCCTCCTAAATTTGCAACCATGCATACCCAGAATATTGAAATTCTGCAAAACTAATTTTTTAGATCACCTAAAGTATTTATAACTTGCATGAAGACTTCATTGAGATAGCATTGTAAAAGTTTTGTTTACGAAGTTTTCATATATTGTGGAAGTGTATGTGTACTATAGGTACTGTTTTATTTTACTTTAAACTTTCTTGAATGCTTCTAACAGATTTTTGATACCTTATTGTGAAGTGTTGATCGTAAGTACAGTACACACATGTCCTTAAGACTAGGCAGGCATGTGTGAAAACAGAGACCATCTATTTCAGAATCGCTCAGCCGTTGCAGTCATCATAAATTACCCGATTACCTGTACAGCAGGGTACACCTGTTGCCTTCAGTGCGAAAATTATGGCCATTGTCACGCAAACTATCTATAGCCAAGCCAAGTTGACTTCTCTTCATTTGAAGCTGTTTGTGCTCTTTTGTGTACACCTTATCAAATTTTCATGCCAGGGGGCGCCATACAGAAATGCGCCGTCTAACGTGCAAGTTGAGAAATCGCCATCTTGGGATGCGACTAGTTGTACCGGTGTGTTATTCATTGGTGCGAAATCCCTGCTAAAGCCTATGTGTGCCGATTTCTCTGAAGTTACTTGGTAAATCATCAGTGGCATGCATGCAGTTGGTATCCAAGATACAGCACGAAAATGTTGTTCTCGTTGGTGAATAAAACAGGTCACTGACCAATGTCAAACAAAACAATGACGTTTCGGGACCCGTACGGATCCCTTGTTCACAATGGAATGACGGCTGAGCAACAGGTTCTTATGTAACGTTGAGCGCATGACGCAAAGTCCAGGAGTACACGTGGTTTAGTGTGCCAGATGATCTATTGATTGTGTTACTTGTCGTCTGAATGATTAGTGATTCGAGGTTCAGTCTGGTTGTAAAATTCTTTTCCGTGGCCATGATGCGTGCATTGTCCCAGCTTATCTCGTGGCCCGTCTTCTCGGCATGGTCTGCGAGTGCATTTGTCACTGTGTGGCCCTTGGCGACGTCATTCTTGTGTTGCATCAGACATCTGCAGTAATTTCCACTCGTGCCAATGTACACTGATTCGCAATCGGCGCATGGTATCTTGTAGACCACACCAGGAAAGTGTTGCTGAATGAGAGGATCCTTCACATCTAGCAACTCAGCCTTAAGCTTGCTTGCTGGAACATGCGCGATCTGTACACCACGTTTTCTGAATAGACGGGCTAGGGCTTCGCTTACATTTCAAATATAAGGAATCGATGCACGCTTTTGCGTAGAGGATGTGTTATGCATGGCTTGACTAGTTGACTGCAGTTTGTGCATGACGGATTTAGTTGTTTTCCTAATAAAAATCTTGGGGTATCCATTCCTGATCAGGTCATCTTCAATGGTCCGGAGCTCCTCCTGCAGGCTTCCTTCATCGGAACAAGTGCGAATCGCTCGTTGAACTAAAGATCGAATCACTGAGCGTTTGTGGGCTACCGGGTGGACTGACTCATAGTCGTGGTATCTGCCGGAGTGTGTTGGCTTTCGGTACACAGCGAAGGCGAGGCCTGTGGGAGTACGTTTTACAACTGCATCCAAGAAAGGGAGGCAACCGTCTTTTTCTTCTTCCACAATAAACTTGATGGAAGTCTCGACGCCATTTAGGCAGTCAAGGAAAGCTTGGACGTCTTTCTTATCACGCAGAAGCAGTCGTCGACGTATCTCAGAAAAACCTTGGGTCTTGGCTGAAATGTTCCCAATGCTTTCTGCTCAATTGCTTCCATTGTGATATTCGCAGTTGTGACCGAAATCGACGCTCCCATCGCGGTACTGAAAACTTGCCTGTAAGAATTCACCCTTGTACGAGAAGTAAGTGTTGGATAGGCAAAACCGTAACAAGGTGCACAGCTCGATGACGTCGAACGGTGTGCGATTGGCCAATGTCGTGTCCTTGTGAAGCAATTGTCTGGAAGTGTCTACAGCAAGGTCGACGGGAACACTTGTGAAGAGGGAGCAGACATCAAATGAAACCAGTATTTCGTCGACATCCACAGTGATACTCTTCATTTTGCTTATGAAGTCATTGGTGTTCCGGAGGTTAGTTTCAGTCTTGCCTGCAAGGGGAGCCAGGATGCTGTGAAGATACTTTGAGAGGCTGTACAGGGGTGACCTAGTGAAATCTACTATGGGTCTTAAGAGGCGTTCCGCTTTTGTGAATCTTCGGTAAACCGTATATCGCTGGAGCAGAATCATTGGTGCACAGCAACTGGAAGTATAACCTTTTTGCTGATGCAGGAAGCGTCTGAAAAATACTAGAGAGCGTCTTTTGCAGGCCAGTTTGGACTTTCGAGGTAGGATCCTTGTTAATCTTGGCGTACGTTGTACAGTCCCCCACTATCTCCGTCATCTTCGACTCATACGTCGACCGGTCAAGCACAACCGTCACGTTGCCTTTGTCCGCAGGAAGTACGGCAATTTTCTTGTTTTTGTGCAATGCCTTAATCGCTTTTTCCTCGTCTTCCTAGAGGACTTGCTGGCAGCCAGACTTGCGAATCCTCGATAGTATACCTACTGCTCTCGTACGGACTTCGTCTCGTTCACTTTCTCCAAGTAGACCAATAGCGTTTTCGACAGCACACACGACCTTGCGTGTGTCCGGCTGCTTTGCTTGGTTGAAGTTGAGACCACGGCTCAAAACTTGGCATTCCGCAGGAGTTAGCTCATATGACGACAAGTTCCTGACCTCGAACATGGGTCCTCTGGTTTTCCTTCCTTTTTTTAGCAAAGCACTGAGTTTGCGCTCTTGTGACGTTTCCTGCTTTTCTGTTCGTCGTCGCGATGCTTGTTTCGCAACGAGATGTATTTCAGGGAGTAATTCAGGCATGATGAATTCCAGCTGGCGTGTTGTGAAGAAAATGTCAGTCTCAAGGCGCTTCACAGTCTGCTTGCAGTCTTCTATCCGTGCTTGAAGAAGCTGCCGTTCAACATTCGAAATGACTTGATGACCGAATGCCGATTTCACGGGGTGCTTTAACTGCAAAGATTTTGGGATGAGTTGCTTGGACTTACAGGTTACGTTGAAACGCAGGTGCGTCTTGAAGATGACCTGATCAGGAATGGATACCCCAAGATTTTTATTAGGAAAACAACTAAATCCGTCATGCATAAACGTGCAGTCAACTAGTCAAGCCATGCATAACACATCGTCTACGCAAAAGTGTGCATCGATTCCTTATATTCGAAATGTACGCGAAGCCCTAGCCCGTCTATTCAGAAAACGTGGTGTACAGATCGCGCATGTTCCAGCAAGCAAGCTTAAGGCTGAGTTGCTAAATGTGAAGGATCCTCTCCCTCGGCAACACTTTCCTGGTGTGGTCTACGAGATACCATGCGCCGATTGCGAATCAGTGTACATTGGCACGAGTGGAAATTACTGCAAACGTCTGATGCAACACAAGAATGACGTCGCCAAGGGCCACACAGTGACAAATGCACTCGCAGAGCATGCCGAAAAGACGGGCCACGAGATAAGCTGGGACAAAGCACGCATCATGGCCACGGAGAAGAATTTTACAACCAGACTGAACCTCGAATCACTAATCATTCAGACGACAAGTAACACAATCAATAGATCATCTGGCACACTAAACCACGTCTACTCCCGGACTTTGCGTCATGCGCTCAATGTTACATAAGAACCTGTTGCTCAGTCGTCATTCCATTGTGAACAAGGGATCCGTACGGGTCCCGAAACGTCATTGTTTTGTTTGACATTGGTCAGTGACCTGTTTTATTCAACAATGCCTTTACCTGACCAGACGGCATTCCGTCGAACTCTCGACTATGTTCTCGTTGGTTTTCTTGCCACCATCCAAATGACGTGAACAGAGACGTGACAGTGGTGAGACACAAACTTTCGATTTACTGAGGCCACTCGCTCTTCCACAATGCAAGCACCGACGGGAAACGATGCAGTGCAAATATGTCACACTTGCCCTCATCGCATGGCCTACTGTGCTGTGAACACAAGAGCCCCGCCGCGGTGGTGTAGTGGCTAAGGTACTCGCCTGCTGACCCGCAGGTCGCGAGATGAAATCCCGGCTGCAGTGGCTGCATTTTCGATGCAGGTCTAAAATAATGTAGGCCCGTGTGCTCAGATTTGAGTGCACATTGAAGAACCCCAGGTGGTCAATATTTCCAGAGCCCTCCACTACGGCATCTCTCATAATCATATGGTGGTTTTGGGACGTTAAACTCCACATATCAATCAACTAATGTGGACACATGATTGCCCCTTAGGACATTTTTTTTCAGCTACTTGTTCGTGAACCCGTACCCGACACAGCGATGGCCAGATGATCTTTTCCTTGAATATGCATAATTTTCTCCCTTGACAGTCACTTTTTATTGGAGAAAGGTGTTTATTACTCAAAGAGGGGAGGAAGTGTTGTGCCAATTGCACCATTCTGCTCCAATCTGACCTGCTGCGCCCAGGCTGCACATAAACAACAATATTCATTATAATTGTTGATTGGAAGTGTAAACTGCCCGATGTAGTCGATTATTATCATTGACCGAGAAACACTGAGCGTTGGCTACACAAAGGACATGGCTGCATCCATATCCAGTGTAGCTCAGTCAGGTACGTTGTGATTCGGTTCGTTCATGGGGCTTGCAAGTGCTTGTCTCAACGCTGTTATCATTGTGGTTTCCTCAAAAAAGTGGTGGCACCAACAGGAGAAGTTGTCAATTAATATTTAGTAATACAGTGAAACCTTGATACTTTTTACCTGCTGGGAATGCCACTTGATTATGCACTAAATGGCAGTGCGCATTTACCGCCAAGTACAAATGTGACGGGTGCCATTGCCACTAATACAAACATGCGGTACCACAGCGTATGTTGCCTGAAGTACCCACCAGAAAATATTTTCTTTATTTTCGCCATAGTGCGGAAAAAATACTCGGCTGGAATTCTTGTATGGTCGTCCAATGGCATGCAGTCGTGACACCGATGAGCATTTCGAAACTATTACAGGTTGTGGGATACACAGCGACTGAGATAGCGACAGGACGGACAGCATTGGCTTTCCGCGATACATATGTGCGTTTCTCTGCCAGTATCGCATCATCCTCATCATCATCAGCCTGACTACGTCCACTGCAGGACAAAGGCCTCTCCCATCTTCCGCCAGTTGACTCGGTCCTGTGCCCGCTGCTGCCAATTTAGTCTGGCGAACTTCTTAATCTCATCTGCCCACCTAACCTTCCGTCTCCCCCTAACCCCCTTGCCTTCTCTAGGAATCCAGTTAGTCACCCTTAATGACCAGCGGTTATCCTGTTTACGTGCTACATGCCCGGCCCATGTCCATTTCCTCTTCTTGATTTCAACTATGATATCCTTAACACCGGTTTGTTCCCTAATCCATTCTGCTCTGTTCTTGTCTCTTTAAAGTTACACCTACCATTTCCCTTTCCATTGCTCGCTGCGTCGTCCTCAATTTAAGCTGAACCCTCTTTGTAAGTCTCCAGGTTTCTGCTCCGTAGCTAAGTACCGGCAAGATGCAGCTGGTATATACCTTCCTCATGAGGGATAGTGGCAAACTACCTGTCATGATTTGAGAGTGCTTGCCAAATGGGCTCCACCCCATTCTTATTCTTCTAGTTACTTTAGTCTCGTGGTTCGGCTCCATGGTTATTACCTGTCCTAAGCAGACATAGTCTCTTACAACTTCAAGTGCACTATTAGCTATCTCGAAACGCTGTTCTCTATCGAGGTTGTTGTACATTACTTTCGTCACAGTCGCATACTAAGTGACAACTGAGTTTTATTGAAACGGGAAACGGGTGTGTGAAATTCGATAATCTCCTGGTTAGTTGCGTGCACCGCATAGGCCTATGCGGTACTCATCGTCACTCATGTTGTACAGAGAGTGCGTACTTGCCACGTGAATTGCTCGTCCCCACTTCGCTCCAGACCGAGCACAGATGAGCAGAGTAAGTAGTTTGTTTAATTAGCATGGTGATAGCAAGCTTCCTGCAAACGAAGTGCACTGCGATTATCTAGTGGCATGAAAACACTTATAAGCATTGCTTATGCCTTATTTTCTTCGAGTTATTTCTCAGCTCAGCTGTGATGATTATTGATGAAAATGCACACATATTTGTGAGAGGCAAGTCTGGACAGGGTCAGCTCACGTTCCAAATATTTAATGAAACCCTTTAGATTGTTTTTGTCTGCCAGAAATAATTTCAATTAATAATGATGTTTTACCTTAGAAAGCTAAGGCTGCTCCAAAACTAATTCGCATTGCTCAAAAACACACCTTTCGGTGCTCCAAACCTGCTCCAGCACTCCCCTTTACCGTTCTAAAGCTGCTCCAAAACAGCACTTTTCCTGCTCCCTGAGCTGCTCCAAAACACAAAAGTCCACCTCTACGCCTGCAGATACACCCCAGCACCACATCCAAGCATACTAGACAAGCACTCGCAGCCCAAAGCACAATGGCAACACTGAGAGCGTACCTTCGACCCCTGTGCACGCTGGTACTCGTGTGAAAAAGTGTTACATTTAAGGGGGCTTTCGTTAGTTTATGCTTTTTTATTTTGAACTAATTTACAGCTTTGGGGAGAATTCAAGTTCAGACATTTCCACAGAATCAGTTTTTCTTATCTTGATCTTCAGTCAGCCAGTTTGCTTAGTTGGGCCATCGCACCGCTTTTTTGGTGAGCTCACCAATCCGGTGCCGGTGAAAGGAGGGCATCTCCCTTTTTTCACTAGGTTCAGCTAGACACGTTGCTGTGGGATGAGTCAGAGCTAATTACCCAGAACTATCATTTGCTGTATAGATAATTTTGATTGCGGAGTCACTGTAAAGTTGTGATAGTAAAAAAAAACTATCAATAGTGCTATTGATAGTAAGTTCTATGATAGTGTTAGTATAAAAATAAACCATGCCAACTAATTAAAACATAAGCTTGATTGCCTGAATACATGGTGTATGGTGGAGCAGGAGTAGCATGCTGATGGCAAGTAAGTTCACATGCTTGTGTGGCATCACCAGAATGTTTGGCTGTCTCACAAGTTGAATTTTACTGGCTTATTGGAGATGTTACATCTGGTGGAACAGCACAGCTTTAAATTTCATACACGCTTTTTGTGATTTAAATATAAAAAAATTCAAGAACTAAATCTCTTAATTGTAAGACATAACTATTACTATTGAACATGAGTTTATCATTTACATATTGTAAAAAGTCAGCACAAAGGGATGGGATGTACAGGGGGGCGGGTCAAGAGTTCTCAGGCCACTATCCCATGTATTCCTCTGGTACTATCAATAGTAGTTATATCGGTAGTTTTTGCACACTACAGGTAGTTTTAAAAAACGCTGTCAATGCTATTGATAGTCGATTCGCCAATAGTCTTGCTTCACTAGTGAGAGCAGATTTCCGGTTGCTAATGCATGAAAGGAGCTAGAAATATTTATTGTGTAGCTTCACGTGAAACTTAATATGGTGGCATGTACATAGTGTACACATCCACAGGGGTTCATTTCAAGGGTTCGTTAAGCAGTTGGTCTGAGGATAGCCAGAAGTGCTCAGTTTGTGCTGTTTTGCTTTGGAATTTAGAATGCCAGCTAATGACTTTAGGCAGCAGATTACAGTCGCTATCTGTGAGCAATTGTCTTGTGCTGCCACAAATAATATCGAGTAGTAATGTTTAGAGTACATATTTTAGTCGTGCCTTTTCTTTGCCTTCCTTTTTTTTATTGAATAGGTCAAGCGGAAGTTCTTCTACAGAGACTGGTATGAAGAAGGCGGCAAGCCTGACACAGCCAGACTGTCAGCCTCTTGCCCTGACGATGGCTTCTCCTACTCAAAGATGCAAGTTTCGATTATTTTGCAGTTAAGCACTTTCGAGAGTGCAGCCAAAGGAGCCCAGTTTATGCATTTGTTGCATCCCGGTTTTAGTGGTTGGTTACTGATACTGATGTTAAATTTGTGGAAGACTGCGCCAACTTCACAAATGTTGGCATTGTTTATGCAAAAGCCTTAGACGCCTCGGCAAATGCGAAAATTGACCTTTGTCGGCGTCCATTGTTGGTGTCGTTAACACGAGTCATGTGAAGGATTATTATCACTCATGTCGTCACCGTGTGACATCATGACATCACAGATTGCCAGTATTTCTGATTTTATCATGATTTTACATGATGTGATCGCATGATATCATCGCTTGAAATAGTGTGGGGCTGATCGTGGAGCTGATCATGGGCTGATCATCGTCTAAGTGCTTGTGTTGTGTTCTGTGTAATAATGGCTGCACTTCCTACCATGATGATTATGGAGGCAGTGAAAAAGAAAAACTATGTCAGGGGCAGAAAGCATTTGCAAGGTGGGCATCAACAGCGACAGCGATGAAAAAGAAGGCTTTCGCCTTCGAGTTAGGCGAATGAGGGACGCTGCGAGTTTTTCTTAACTGTGTATTGAATGCTATTAAACGAGAGAATTTTGTTGGTGGTGGACATAAAATAAGCTGCAGCTATTGTGCATGAAGCGTTAGAAAAAAAGATTAAAATATGGTAATAAAACTAAGTGCTTGTCTTTAGTCCCATAAAAAAAAATTTTCTGCAAACTTCTGTTTTTGTCCCTTGATGCGTTCATTAAAAGTAGGGCTGTGCAAATGTTTGACATTTCAAATAGTGTTTTGTATTTGACTGGACTCTCAGTAGAATTTTACTATGCAAACTGTCCAAGCTTCACGATGACAAATACAGTCAACGTTCGATTGGCAGGGGCCCCTTCAGATTTTGAATAAGCTTCACTCCATTACAAACTCACATCGCAACATGGTAGCCTTTCAGGCTCTGCTACGGTCGCAAATGCATTAACTTGAGAAAACCCTGGTTCCAACGTAGATAAAGTAGATGAGGCAGGAGGGGGGGAGAGCTCAAATAATGCTGTTTAGGACCAAAATTTAGGTAGAGAGTCTGAAAAATTAGACGCCAAAGATATGTAGCATTTGAAATTTCAGATGTTCCAATATACTGACGCCTGCTAACTACCAAGTCAAAGGAAGCACATCCTTGCCCACTCATTTGTTGGCCTTCCACAGAAGTTGAAAGAGGAGGGGGAGGCTGAGAAAATAGCATGTTTTTTTTACACATGTAAAGTGTGGTTGGCAATGCTTTGGTAGTCCCAAATCATGTACATAAATACAATTAGGCCTCTGCATTGCCTCATTCTTGATGAGACAACTATGAAACAACACCACCCTGCCACCGCTTCATCAACCTAGCCAAAAGAAACACTTTCATGTTGCTATCTCTTAAGAATATGTTTAGGAATCCTCTCCAACATTTTCTTGTGATTTCGCTTTGAATTATTTGAAAAGTATTCAAAAAATATTCAATTTGATTCACACTCACACTTTAATGTACGTATTTGCTTTGCCCTTGAAATTTTGCTATTTGTACTACTCTAGTAAAAGTAATTTAATTTCAATTACACACTTTTCAATTAGTCGAGGAGTGGGCCGTGGACAATTTTGTGATGCACTGAGGTAAGATATGTTACAATAGATACTTGTATAATGCACTGCGTATCTGAGTAGTGTTTAATTCATTTTAATGAATACAAGCGGCTCATGTAATACAAAAAATTATGTGATTAGCAGTAGGATAGGAGGCTGATCAGACTCTGTGAGAAAGCAAGCCATTGTTTAGCTCGGCTCTAGTGTTTCTTGCTAGTATATGTTACATCTGCAGAGTTATATTGTATAAATTTAGGTCTGCGAAATTGTATACATGTAAGTCTTGCCCTAACATTTCCTCTGTGTTAGTGTGTGGCGTGCATGTCATACTTCACGCATAAAATTGGGTAGAGCGTTGGTTGCTAAACACAGCTGCAGGGATCATCTATGCATGAAAGAGAGCCATATTAAATTTATGAAGAGACCTTATTGATTTAGTGCAAATAAGTGCAAAACAAAAGACAAACAGAGCTAGCAAAAAGATATATTTCACATTCTTGTCTTTTTTTGTAACTAGCATTACAGCAACAACACTCACAAGTGATTTGTGCATGTTACCTGCCTTCAGAGTTTAAAGCAGCACTGCACTTGTGGTGTATAAAGAATGGATGTATGAAAAACTTTTATTGGGGTACTGAAGGATTCCACCACCGTTTATAAAGGGGTAGGATCGCAGGCCGCTTCCACGTAGGGACGGGGATGCCCAGCCTCACCTCAGCTGCATCGTGGGCCTTCTGGATAGCCTTGAGTTGTAAACGAATGAAAAAAATCACTTTGGTAGCAACTTCATAAAGAAACTGTGTGGTTGGCTGTGGGCAAATGTTGGTTATCTTGCTATAGACGTGTTGTTTTGAGCTTCTGTGATACATTAAGTAGACACGTGGCAAAGAGATGAATAACATGGCTCTTGATCACTACATAACAAACATGTACTAGTTCTGTGTTGCAGCCATTCCTGTATAAATATTCTTGTAGAAGTCCAAGTTGAATTATCAGTACAGTTGATGAGCTCATGCTGAAATTGTCTTGGTTTCAATTATGCGACATGCTCATTACAAGGCTGTACCAACTAGAACGAAGAGCTTGTATAGATAGAGATATACTGTTCTAGTCACTAAACTGGCTCATAATCTTGAGCTAATATGATCATATAACATTCCTGCAAAGTACTGACTTTCATTTTGATAATTTGGCATTGCAGTGATTTAGCCTATGTAGGAATTCGTTCGGGTGGTACATAGAGGGACAGTATTCTTCCACTAACAGTGTATTTCATAAAAAAGCAAATTAAGGCTTTGTTTTTTGTGGTATGTTTGTGTTTGATGCCACCTTCGACAAATTGCACCAGTGCACACCGGGGTGCCCAGGTGCTACTGAAACAAAACAGCGCACTCGTGCGATTTGATGAAGATGTCATAAGATGCCATAAGAACTTCTTTCTATAACAGACATTCCATCTACATTTGTGCAGATTTCAAAAAAAAAAATTAATGTGGCCCACAAAAATGCAGAGAAAGGTTTCCCATCCTCACTTCATCTAAAAACACTTGGTTTGACTGAATTGTAATGTTTACATGCATCTGTCATAAGCAGTTAACTAAACATGCTGTTGCATGCACATATCATTGTTGCTGCATCATAATTTCGCATCTATGATTTGCCTGTCTGCTTTTAGGTTGCCGATTGGCCCTCTAATTTAGCTGTGTATAGGGGGCTCTGAACACATCTCCCAAAAAAATCACCACATTCAAAGGTGGTGTGAAGCTTTAGGGCGCTTGTTTACTTTGGTTGTATATTTGTTTGTCTTAATTTCTCAAGGTACCTCCCAGCACAGGGCCGCTTTGAAGATGTGCCGGAGCTGACAAGGTCAGAAGACAGTCCATGGGAGTATAAGTGCTACAGCTGCCTCAGAAAACGGAGGGAAAAGAAGGTGCGTGATGCATGCTAGTGCCTTAGTCTACGCAGTAGTCAATCGCATACCTCTTTTATAGCTGTTTCTGGCGATTATGAGTTCTTCATCCAGCTTTTGTGGTCTGTGAAATTCGTTTGTTCCCATTTTTTTTTTTTCAATGCACATTTAGGGGTCTTGGCAGTTTTTAATTTTCATTGTAGTGATCACTATGTTCCCTTCACTTAGAACTGAAAAATAGAGCTTTATTTTCTACTCATTTGAGATTTCATCATTGACGTATTGTGTCGAATGTTCTGACATTGCTAGTGACAACGAAGTTGTCATCATTCGTGATGTCTTCATGCCATTGTCATCGCTGTTGTCATGCTATCTCTACAACCATCACCACTTTTCCTCAGAGACTTCTGTTTTTTGTAAGGCTTGGCATCTTTAGAAAGTAGCCGAAGCTCAGATGAACAAGAAAGATAAGGGTTGCACAGCAGATTGTGCTTACCGTAAAACAAACATTTGAGCTAGGAAAGACGTGATGGTAGCAGCTAATTTTTTTCCCAAGTTCATTCCCGGCTCATTCTGGGAGGAAATAGTCTCTGTCAGTATAACGCACTGTTTGGAGTATGCATGGATATGCCACCACTCATGCTACAAGAAATAGTGAAAATTAAAAACATTACGGTACCTATTGTGCCTGCATTTGACGAATTCCTTAAGTGTTAGTACATTCTTTCTGCTTACTTTCCTAGGCCAATAGCTGCCGCTACGGTGAAGTGCTGTCAGGAGAGAAGAATGGCAGGGTTTTCTACAGTTCAGTGAAGTGGCAAAAAGAAAACTACTGCGTGGGCGATTGCATCTTTTTGAACCCAGGTGCACTCGACCATCATCCCAGCAAGAAGCAGGTGGGGCATGGTCTTCAAAAATTTTTCTACAAGGATTAGCAGAAACAGAAATATACGAGCAACTTACAAATATTGACTTTCAGTTGTCCTAAAATTCTTGGCAACCCTTTTGCTACCATTGACGAGTATAGTCATCATGAGATTTTGTAACGACATACTGTACTCGTTCTCAACGAAAATTGGTCCTTCATGGAATCGGTGGTAGTTCTACTTGTCGTAGGGGTGTCTATTGATGCTAGGCGACCACACTTGTTTGTGTTGGGCCATATGTATCTCGGCTTTCATTTTATTATTCCGAAATTTCATTTGTTTGCCATGCAGTGAAGCCACCTTCAAGTTATTCTTTTTTTTTATGTGACAAGTTAAGTAGACGAACGCCATTGAGTTGAAAAAAATGATATTGTTTTATTGAAAAAAAAAAAAGACGTCTAAAAGTTGAGCAAAAATATTTTTTGGTAATTTTGGTGCATTCTTGTTCTGTTATACTAGCAAAAAGGTTAACAATGAAGCAAAAAATTTGTCTGCTGTGTTTTCAATGCATTATGAAGTTTTGTAACTGAAACCGTTTCTGATAAGCCTCTTGAACTTTCTCACGGTGTCTGTAAACTTTGGCTTGTTATTTATAATTAGCGTGACATAGCATAGCTCATTGAATGTAGTGCCACAGGTTTCTGAAGAAACATATGCGAAAAAAGTTAGGATTACTAAATCCGTACTTTTGCAAGGGCTGCCCGTGTGCCAAGACCAGACTCATGTAGAGGCCATACACTCAACTTGGCAGAGCAGAAATCTTGGGGGAAAAAAGAAAAAAAAGGTACATTTTATTGTAACAAGCCCGAAGGTTGAAAAAAAAAATCTACAACCAACAAACTTTTAAGTAATTGGCAAGCACTGTCATAGACGACACGGATACATTGATGAAGTAATGAATGAAAAAAATGTTCCCATTTTACTTTTTTTCTGTCTGTCCCATTATTTGGCATTTTCTTCTTATTTTCAACTTCTGTTTCTACTGCTCACTCCCCAAGAAGCAGGCAAGTGTTGTGCCCCCCCCCCCCCCCCCTTTCTGTAAGTTGTCAGCCTGCTCCCTGCCTGCTTCCTTCGGTCCTTTGTCCATGCGTTTGTCTAATGTGGTTGTATCAGAATATAATAATTATAGATATGGTATTTAATTATAGCAACTATGATAGCAAGTGTTGACACATGTGGGCTAGGTTGAGTTATCTGTGGCTGCCTTCAGCTGGGCACAGTGCAACCTTGTTGAGGCACTGTGCAACCTTTGTAAGAAGTGCAAAATGGAATTATTTATTCGAAATTCGTATCATCCAAATCAGTCTGAAAAGGTGCAGAAATAGGTGTAACTACTAAGCAGCTAGTTCTACAGCAAAGCTTCACGCATTATCGAGCGTGTGATCAGTCTATGTTGCTCACTAATATCCAGTGTTACCCAATTCTAATCCTCGTTATTTACGTTACTCGAATAGACAGTGCAGTTGTTGTTTTCTCGGCTCTCTCCCGCTCTAGATTTTTTTTGCTGCTGCTGCAGAATCTGCGAAGCTGCAGTTGTGTAACACATTCGTGGGTTGCTGGATATAAGATACAAGGTCGCTAAATATAAAGGCATCGGTTTCCTTGTATGTGCTTCAACATTGATCAGAATGTGGCCTTCGTGGCTAAAAATCACACTCTTAAAAGGACACTACAGGCATCTATTAGCTTGATGTTGATTGTTGAAATAGCGGTCCATAAACCTGGTAGTTTTACTTTTGTTCCAAGTAAGAGGTTACTTTGAAATAAAATTACATTTTAGTGGTCCGCATCGGCTTAGCTCACTTCAACTTACCTGCCTCGAGAAGCGAACCATCTAATGTCACCGTCATGCACAACATTTCCCGGCTTTACTGCACAGCCGCCGACGCTAGTAGCAGCATAAAGAAAGCAGTGGAGCCACAGCAGCAGCAACAGCCCTTGATCGATTTCCTGCTATTGGCACCGAGTTTACAGACGTATTTTGGTTCAACTGGGCTCCGCTAGATGGCACGACTTGTCCAATTTAACCTTGTGAAAATTGAATTTTTGAACTACTCGCACCATTCCCCACAGTAGTGTCCGGCGGTTCTTTTTTCCTTGAATCAAACAGAAACGAATAAGCCAAATTTCGTTGCGTTTCTTGATGCACGGAAGGTTCTTTATTTAGTGCAGTTAGATTGATTACTAGTCATGAGTCATAGACAGTTCGTCTGATGTCAGTGGTATTATTTTGAGATTGTCCTACTGCGGCGCGTGTACTATTGTGAATTTACCTTAATTTCTCGGTATGTAGGGCACTGCTGTTGATAATATTGTCGTTTTAGATGTTGTCATACATTGAGCTTTCACTCTGGGGTAAATTGTTATTTGACTTTAGTGTCCCTTTAAACTCATAAGTCAATGGCATAGCCACTGTGGAACCATAGAGAGTTGGCTTAAGAAAAAGCAGTTTATCAGATTGCTTCATTTATAGGGTAGTTTGCAGATTGGAACTGTTGTGGTGAGTTTAGCAACAGAATGGTATAAGTGTGCCACATTTATCTCAAACTGACCTGACTCTTACGTTGTTTTGGTATTCTGTTTTGTAGGCATCACCAAAGTCCATGGACACGTCTAATGGGAAAGGACACGAGCCATTTCAGGTTGCATGCATTCTGTCCATTGTGGCCTCTAAGACCAGCAGAAACCAAAACACTGCTACCTTCAGGGTTAGGAAGTTCTACAGGTACATATATCCTGTGAGATTCTATAGCTATTGTTTGTTGCACCTGTTTTGTGTGCTGTGTAAAAACCGTAAAAAAAAGGCTTCTTTTGTATGATTGCAACTGCGTGATGTCTTGAATCACAAATGCAGTTGTTCAATCAGTGCTGTAAAATTCTGAGCAAACGGGCCCACCCCTAAGCAAGTCAAATTTACTGGCAAAGTGTAGGTGGGTGCATCCCAAAATAGCAATAAAGTTCAAGATGGCACCTATAAAGTTTTACTGCGAGACAAAAGCGGAATATGCGGGAACTTTCTCAGGAATTTCCTGGCTATAGTTTGTGGTGTGGTGAATTGCAATGTAGAATAGCTGCTTCTGCCAACTCACAAGCACAAGAAACTCAAAAGGCAATGCAATCGGTCTACGTGAAGTGGCATGAGAGCACCTACGATGACGAACCCGCGTTGATACAGCCCTGTGAAACAGATATCTCGAAAAGCTTACCTTTGTTAACTCTGTGCATCGTAGGTACTCCCTCAAATCTCCAATACAGATCTCAATGGCTGCGCTTGAATTTTACGACAAGTTGCTCAGAATTTTATAGCAAGTGTTTGGATCTGACCGCCACTGTACAAGAGTCTTTTAGAAACCTGTTTACTTACGAGAAATTTATCGACGTTACGGTATATTGTAGTGTTCGAGTTATTCACATCCTTTCATTCTTCCACGTATTGTTTCTGTATACTTGCGAGTGTAATATTCTGTAGCATTAGTGATGGAGTTTAATGTTGACCTTGTAAGAAATCTACATAAAAGACCATCAGGCTTTAAGCACACAGTCTTTGAGTAGCTGTTGTGCTGCAACACGACTGAGCTTAAAGGAGCCGTGAACTATTGAAGGCTTAGCTATTGGATACTAGCAATTATACAACGCCTTTAGCGCTATCCACGCAATTCGTCCCTAATTATATATAAATCGCAGCATTATTGCTAAGGAGCTCAGTTGCGTGTGTGTTTCACTTTTATCAAAAGAAAAGAAGTTTGACTCCTGTTTACATAGCTCTACAAATTGTGTACAAGCATGACAAACCATTGAAAGGAAACCAACCTCTTTTGCTGTTTCGCAAGATTTAAAGTGGCGTTGATGAGTTAATACTTGTCATAGGCCATTTTTTTTTTATCAGAAACACAGGAGCTAACACAGTTCACTGATTCTGCAATAGTGGTTGAGGGGAATGTGGTACTGCTATTATGTTTGAACTCAACTCAAAGTAGATGCAGAGTTGGTCACCCAGAAAAGTTGAGGGTGGCAGCATGCTGCTTGTGGCATTCTTTCGATGGAAGCAAAAGGATAGCGGCCCACGCACTGTCTGATGTCAGTGCTTATTAAAGAACACCACTTGGTCAAAATTTCTGGAGCCCTCCACTAGTGTCTCTCGTAACCATTATGGCTTTGGAATTTAAAACTACAACAATTGTTATGCTGTAACATTCTCTCTCTTTTACCTAGTACATACAAAGCAATTTGTCACGAATGCTTGAAATGTATGCTTGAAAAGCAGGAGCTTCTGTTGCATGTTTTGACTTGCTGTTAGCTATTGTACAAGATTAGTTTATTACATTTGGTGATTTCGTGCAGGCCAGAGGACACACATCTTGACAAGGGTGCCTGTAGGAAGGAAAGTTTGAATGTGTTATACTACACAAAAGAAGGTAAACATTTTTTTAAATTTACACTTCATTTGTAGGTCTGCAAGCTCACTCAGTTGGGGTCTTGAGTCTGTAGTTTCAGCCAATATGGCTTAGTGAAATTTAGGGCAGCCTACAGTAAAATTCCTAGAGATGACACACCTAAAATGGAGAAAAAAAATCGGACAGAAGTATGAGGCGGCCTTGCTTTCTCTGTGCAGTTAAAAAAATTTAAAAATGCGTATGAGCCAAAAAATCAACACTGATTCTGCTAGCGTTGAATTAATTTTTTGTCAAAACTGCGGAACGAGCAGTCACTCTCGCTGTCAAACGAAAGGTCTGCAACTTTTTCCTGCCTGGTGTTCGAGTTGGTTGTCACGGTGGTGAAAAGACTGTGGATCACCAGAGCGAGCGGTTGATGAAGTTCTCGGTGTTCTGATCTATCGAAGATAACTGATATACCACACCGCGACAAGTGGGCTCTCTATTGGTGTTTTCTAAAAACTAGAGAATCATGCCAAAAGCAGGGATAAGCTATCTTTGGGGATGAGGTAGCCCAAAAAATCTTAAGCAGAAAGTGCATTTTTGTGAGGGAGTCAAGTTTTGTTTATTTAGTTGAATCATGGCTTTGTATTGGCTTTCCTCTTTTTATTTAATGAACGATTCGGCGGCAAAAACTCTGTAAAGAGTTTTTCGCCTGTAGCTTTCTATCTGAATATCATCACTGTGTCGGTATCATACAGTCACGGTTATCTTAAATGATATCACTAAAGGTTATTTGCTTGGGCATTAGCACTAGCATTGGGCATCATTAGAATGCATTTCCACCATACAATATTTGCATCGCACAAAAAAAAAACTGAAGCTGTTTTTTGCTGCTGCAGTTTATTTTTGCTTGCATGCACATGGCCTCAGACATAACTGGTACCGGAGGTTTTCTACATTCCTGTTCTAAACTTGGGAGGACACAGCTTAAAAATAATCCTACTTTTTAAACTCATTTCAAGTCTGTCGCTTACCAACAACCCACCTCACATAGGGGGAACATAGCACTGGATAAAACTTACTTACTAGTCGGCTTCCAATTCAGGAGGCTTTCAGAGCACAGAGCCGAGCTAGGTTTGCAGTTTAAATAATTTGCGCTAACTGCTGATGACCGTGGAGCATCACTATGTCACTGCAGCGATTGCTTTGCACGTGGAGAGAGTTTGCAAGTGGTTGCCTATAAACCCTTAACATTTATTTGTATTACTCTTTTTTCTTTTTTTGTAACAGCACTCATGGCAGAAAGTAGTATTAAACTTTCTGAAGGCAATAAACTGCAGTTTTTTTTGTTAATGTTTTGTGCTGTATTTTCTGTGTTGTTTTACAGAAATGGATGTTTGCTTGCGCGACGTCTGTGGCAAGGCAAAGGTTGTCTTCTCAAAGCGAAATCGTCTTGACTGCCCAGGAATTTGGGCTGTTGGTGATGTCTTCGTGTTTTCAAAGGTGGGAACTCTGTAAATGCTTGGTTCCACTTTGGGTACTTGTGTTGAAAAAAATATATGCATAAGCATGCCTTATTGCTGTAAATGCTATAGTTGCGAACGAGTGGGTGTCAAGAGTCAATATATATGCATAAGCACTAGGCTTGGGGGAATAGTGAATTTAGGTTCGAAGCGAATAGTGGTTCTAGTCGAATATTTCGAATCAAGTTCAAATAGTATATGTGACATATAAAAAAATGGGCATATTTATTATGACCAATCCAACCCGCACAATATTTTTTTAAAAATTGGAATAGGGATTCAGTGCAAATGCCTTTTTTTTTTTCATTGAAAGTCGAAAGAACTTCAAGTAGTAGCAGGATATGACTTTCAACAGGATGCGACTCAGAACTCTTAAAGTACGTAACATCACAAAATTTATTATACTTAGAGCATATAAGCTGTCATAACTAGCTTTTAAGCTTAATAAAATGAATTGATTTGAGAGTAGTATTTTCATTTAAAGGGGCCCTGTGACACTTTTTGAAGTAGCCATGGAATGGATTCACTAAATAAGCTTATTTATTGCCTCATGAATTTACCACCACAAATATTTTTAGAATCCGTCCAGTATGCGCATAGCTGCAAAGATTTCTTGCACACTGCAAGTGCATTCATCTCGTTTAGACGAAAACACTGGAAGTTAAGCAGGGAGAAATGGCACGGGGAAGGAAAATACGTCCTGTGTGCTTTTTGAGCTTGTAGTGTCATTTGCCGAGAGAAGAGAGCAATTTTTAGCTGACTGAGAATTTATTGTGAATTGCACGCCGCGTGCTGTGCTATAATTTTTAGCCTACGTGTCCTCTGTAGCCTCGACTACGGATCGGCAGTGTTTTCTGACAATGCTCAGAAAGTGTTGCAGGGTCCCTTTAAAATATAAGGGAGCCTTCGCGACAAAACGAATTTCTCCTAAATAGGTGGTTTCACGGTTCAGCATTCATACATTGTAGTGAAATTATCTTTACAGGTGGTACATTCATATTAATATGCATCTATTCGTTCCTTACGAATACTTCAAAATTTTCAATAATTTCAATTCAAATCGAAGCGAATTTGAATACCCTTCTATTCGTTCGAATATTAGAAGCATTCGAATGTTCGCACAAGTTTAATAAGCACCCCTTATTGCTGTAAATGCTATATTTTCAAACTAGAGGGTGCCTAGAACGAAACCATCTTGTTAGGACAGTCAAGAGCTGTTAGATTACTATAATTGAGTTTACATTGCACTTCATACAACATACATCTTTCCTTGAGGTGGTGTGGTGCCTCTTGTGATCCTACAGTTGAACACATATATTAAACCCACATAAATCGAATTTTTGGGTATATCGAACTCTCTAGTTATCTCCTTGAAATTTCTTTGTAAAAGTATAGAAATTCGCATGGTTATATCGAACGATATTTTTACTCGCCTTCTCATATATTGAACACCATATATCTAACATCGCGTGAACTGGAAGGTGCGCTTTAGCACTCGCTGCGATCTCCGCGGTAGCGTGGATTCGCACGTGAGTTGGAAGTGCGCTTTGGCACTCGCAGGGTTCGGCGACCTCCGCGCAGCCCCGCGCCGTTGTCCAAGCCCAAAATGCTCGACAAAAGACAAGGGCGAGAGGGCTCTGACTGTATGGTCTCCAACTTGCGAAACGGCCTTTTTTTTTTTTCATTTCTCTCTCTCTCAGGCTTTCCCGCGTACTTGTCGGCTCCGAGAGCAGGAACGAAGGAGCCGACAACTTCCTCCTTTCGTCATTTCTTTTAATTTTGTTGCTGTTTTGCGATTTTTGATCAGCCAACCACAGCTCGCGGCTTTTTCTGTTGTACTCGCCGGTAACCATTGCCTCGCAAGCGCTTTGTTGGCGGAGTCCGCTTCCGTTGCCGTGTCGTCTGCAAACCACAACCTGTGTAGCATTCTTCCTTTGCATGTGTGGTGTGCAAAGCCGCTGCTGACTACTTGAATTGTTGAATTCTAGTGTAGCTATGGCCACCATCAGGAATTGTAAGACCCTTGACTTTGCGACATCGTTGAAGGCTAATCAGTGTGTTGAGGCGGGCGAGAAATGTTCGACCATGGCGGAGGAGTACATTGTTGAAGAGCAAGGCGGATAACAAGGCAAAAGTGGTGAAGCAGCACGTTGGGAGCCTGTGGTGTGATGGCAGAACTTGTGGAAACTGGTGAAGTCGGCGTTGACGAGCGCTTAGATGACGCACTTTGCGAGTTGTCATCCCTATTCCCGACAGTTGTTCCACACGAAGTGTCTGCGGACGTCCGAATGCCAAACAAGGGAACGCCTCAAGGAGCCATAATATCTCCTCTGTTGTTTAATATCGCCATGCGTCGACTCGCTCGGGCCTTGGATTGTGTACCACAGCTAGGTTATACCCTCTACGCGGACGACATTACTCTGTGGGCCACAAGGGGGTCCCTGGCCAGCAAAGAGCAGACTCTGCAAGAGGCGGCACTGGCTGTCGAAAACTTTGCCAGAACCAGTGGTCTCAGCTGCGCACCCGAAAAATCGGAGGTGATCAGAATACACAGCAAACGCTACAAAAGTAACGGAAGAATAGAAATTGAAATCGAAAAGCAGAAAATTAAAGAAGTCACCGTCGCCCGGATTCTGGGTTTCTGGGTTCAAAGCAACGGTAGGGCAAATCACACTATCGGTCTTCTTAAATCAGCAACTAAACAAGTGGCTAGAATGATTCAGAGGATCACCTTCCACAAAAAGGCATGAAAGAAAGTGATACTGTCCGATTAGTGCAGGCGCTCGTAATGAGCAAATTGACATACAGCTTGCCTTTCCACACGCTGAACAAGAGCGAGGAAGAGCAAGTAGATTCTATCATCAGAGGGGCTTACAAGGCAGCATTAGGCTTACCGATAAGCACTCCGACACAGAGGCTTCTCGAGATCGGCCTGCATAACACGTACGCTGAACTGAAAGCAGCAACATTGATCTCTCAGCGCAACCGCCTCAGCCAGACGAAGTCGGGAAGAGAGATACTGATGAGGGCGGGTATAACACCCCAACCCCAAAACTTGGACGAGGAGCTGGTGGACGTACCAGACCCAGTCCGACGACATATTTCGATCGCCCCTATCCCCAGGAACATGACCAAGGAGCGGCATCACGAAAGGCGAGAGGAGCGTGTAAAATGGATCAGAAAATTAGTTAGAGGCAATGAGAACGTGCTATACGTTGACGCTTCCAGGTATAACTGGAAGCGCTGCGTCGTCACAATGGTAAGCAGTGACACGAGAAGCATGGCGTCCAGCGCATCACTGTACACTACATCGATCACCAAGGCCGAGTGTTTCGCCATCGCATTGGCGATTAAAAGTCGAGAGCGCAGCGACGGCCAGACGTACATCACCATACTCTCAGATTCGCAAGAGGCGTGCCGGCTATTCACGAAAGGCCGCCTCCCATTAAACATTTGCAAATTTTTAGGCGGCGAATTGAGCAACACTTATAGGTTGGTCTGGTGCCCTGGACATGCAGGCCTAGAGGGTAACGAGAGGGCGGACGCTCTAGCTCGAGCGCTCACGAACCGAGCGGAGCAGCAGCCTTTCTCGCTGTTGCCACCACCCAGCAACGACGGCTTTCGCGAGGAGGAGGAAAACGACCCGGCTCGGATGGCTCCGCGAGAGCTTCTTGCTCACCAGCGATACACGCGGCAGAAATATGGCGCCCCCCACAAATCTCTTAAAGGGGAAGACGCCATAGACCTCCGTAAAATTCAAACGGGAGTTTATCCAAATTTATTACGACTGCACAAAATTCATCCAACTTTGTATGGGCGCGATTGTCCGTGGTGTCGCGACTCGCCACCGACCCTTTACCATATCTCGTGGAGTTGTGCTAAACGGCCAAATGAACTTGATCGCTTACAGCGTATGTATAGAATGGAAAACTCTTGGGAGCAATGGGAGGCACTCCTCGCTAGCTCGGACCCGGAGGTGCAACTAGCACTCCTGGACCACGTCCGGCAGGCGGCGCAAGCCAGTGGAGCCTTGGACATGGGGCCCCACCCATCTAGCTCCTAAACCCCTTCTTTTTCAACCCAATAAAGTTATTTCTCTCTCTCTCTCTCTCTGCGGACGATTTCGTGGAAGCGTACTGCAATGTTCAGGCCGTTGCGAGCCTCGCTGTCAAGGACATAGTAGCTGCGGTCGCAGGGACCCAAGATGCTCAGGCCGACAGCTCATGTCACGAGGAGGATCGTCCGGACGAAACGCTGGCTACACGCACGTACTTCACCGCGGAAATGGGGGCAGCGTTCGGCATTCATTCCCCGTTGTATCGGCGACATGGAGGGAATCGGGCTGTCGCAACTGGACAGCCTTGATAAGATCAATACGAGCATCTTTAGCTTCATTAAGAAAATGAAGAAGCAGGCCAAGATAAGAGATTGTCGTTCAGTTGTCAATCAGTTGTCATTCTTGAATGCGCCTATTGTAAGTGATGGTCTGCTACAGGTAAGCTCTCGGGCCTGTAGTTTTCATATATCAAACTAATTCGCGATCCCCTTCGAGTTCGATAAATCCGTGTTCAACTGTATTTTGGCAGATGTCTTTACTGGCCATTGCTATCTCGACTCTCAAAGTTAATCTTTTCTTTCTGAATTTCTTGTTTGAAAAAAATATGTTATAAACAAAGCCACTACACTAAATGCGCACGTCTGAATGGCACTGTTGAATATTATATTATGAGGTAAGCTTGTAGGGGTGCTGACACCCTTTGTAAAGTTGTTTGTGTGCCGCGTGGGGCACGTGTCTTGCCCAAAAGCCGCATTTCAGGCTACAACTACTGGGCGATAGATGGCGTTGTGTTCACATTGAGCACCACTATCATCATCATGGTGGGTAGAGAGGTAGCGCCGGCGGTGACCCCTGCCGGAAGCAAGCCTTGGTGGCGGGCGAGAGTTGAGGGAGTCTCTTCTGCGCGCTGCGGTTGCCGCGAA